TGGGTATGATAATGTGGACCTGCCAATGTGGGTATGATACCTGTGGACCTGCCAATGTGGGTATGATACCTGTGGACCTGCCAATGTGGGTATGATACCTGTGGACCTGCCAATGTGGGTATGATAATGTGGACCTGCCAATGTGGGTATGATACCTGTGGACCTGCCAATGATACCCGTGGACCTGGGTATGATACCTGTGGACCTGCCAATGTGGGTATGATACCTGTGGCCCTGTGGCCCTGCCAATGTATACATAGGTATTAGTGTTGGGAATTGGTTAAAATCTCATAATTGATGATTGATCCATTACAACCAAGCAGTCATCGAAAATAATTGGTTTAGTGCCATTTATCAAATTTACCTGTTATGTGAACCTTGTGAAAAATATTCTTAATGCAAACAAATCTTCAAAAATTGTTTGTGTTCGATTATGAGGACACATGATCAATTGCTTGGTCGTTTAGTCACTGTGACCAATCTTCAATTATTTCAATTAATCGGACCACAACTAGTAGGTATGATACCTGTTACCCTGTCAATGTAGGTATGATGCCTGGTACCCTGTCAATGTAGGTATGATACCTGCAAGCCCTCCGATGTAGAGCTGACCCATGAGGACTGGCTCCAGGGCTTGTGTTCTTATGAGGACTGACCACTGTCGGAGGAGGTAACAAGGACTGACCATTGTCGGAGGAGGTAACAAGGACTGACCACTGTCGGACGAGATAACAAGGACTGACCATTGTCAGAGGAGGTAACAAATACTAACCATTGTCGGAGGAGGTAACAAGGACTGACCATTGTCATTGTAACAAGGACTGAGGAGGTAACAAGGACTGACCATTGTCGGAGGAGGTAACAAGGACTGACCATTGTCGGAGGAGGTAACAAGGACTGACCATTGTCGGAGGAGATAACAAGGACTGACCATTGTCGGAGGAGGTAACAAGGACTGACCATTGTCGGAGGAGGTAACAAGGACTGACCATTGTCGGAGGAGGTAACAAGGACTGACCATTGTCGGAGGAGGTAACAAGGACTGACCATTGTCGGAGGAGGTAACAAGGACTGACCATTGTCGGAGGAGGTGTCGGAGGAGGTAACAAGGACTGACCATTGTCGGAGGAGGTAACAAGGACTGACCATTGTCGGAGGAGGTAACAAGGACTGACCATTGTCGGAGGAGGTAACAAGGACTGACCATTGTCGGAGGAGGTAACAAGGACTGACCATTGTCGGAGGAGGTAACAAGGACTGACCATTGTCGAGGAGGTAACAAGGACTGACCATTGTCGGAGGAGGTAACAAGGACCGACCATTGTCGGAGGAGGTAACAAGGACTGACCATTGTCGGAGGAGGTAACAAGGTAACTGACCCATTGTCGGAGGAGGTAACAAGGACTGACCATTGTCGGAGGAGGTAACAAGGACTGACCATTGTCGAGAGGAGGACTGACCATTGTCGGAAGGTAACAAGGACTGACCATTGTCGGAGGAGGTAAGGTAACAAGACTGACCATTGTCAGAGGAGGTAACAAGGACTGACCATTGTCAGGAGGAGGTAACAAGGACTGACCATTGTCGGAGGAGGAGGAGGGAGGAGATAACAAGGACCATTGTAACAAGGAGACCATTGTCGGAGGAGGTAACAAGGACTGACCATTGTCGGAGGAGGTAACAAGGACTGACCATTGTCGGAGGAGGTAACAAGGACTGACCATTGTCGGAGGAGGTAACAAGGACTGACCATTGTCGGAGGAGGTAACATGGACTGACCATTGTCAGAGGAGGTAACAAGGACTGACCATTGTCAGGAGGTAACAAGGACTGACCATTGGAGGAGGTAACAAGGACTGACCATTGTCGGAGGAGGTAACAAGGACTGACCATTGTGGGAGGAGGTAACAAGGACTGACCATTGTCGGAGGAGGTAACATGAGGACTGACCATTGTCGGAGGAGGTAACATGGACTGATGCATCAGTCTGTATAGATTAAATTGTTACGGCCTGAACAGCTACTGAACAACTGGCAAGTACATAGAAATTGAGCTGTGTGATCTCCTCATACAGCAGCCATGTAGACATCACTGACTTTAACAAGACATGAGCTGTGATGTTTTTACATCCCTCTGGTTGCCATGGTTTCCATTGTTGAACCTGTAGGTGTATTTCCAATCAGTCTGTCACATAGCACCACTGTTGCGGGGTAGAATTTCAGCACTAGTTTCATGAACACTTAAATATTTTCTATATTCACTTCACAATATTGGGTTTCATTCCATTGGCCTGTCAATTGTAAGGAAACCTGCACATTACCATCAAAATTCTATAAAATAACAAATAAAAAACAATAGAAATCACGTAGTATCATATTGTATATTCAAGCTTTTCTATCTATTTTTGAACAAAGCAAGTGAATGGTAGGGACATACAGCTGCTTGCTGCAGAACAATATCCTGCTCGGTTACAATGTCGAACTGCATTAATCATCATGTTCTGTTTGTTGTTGGATAGAGCACCGAAGCAATTCCATCATAAACCTTTAACAATGGCAAAACGAGGTCACACAGACATGGAGCAGAGAGATGCTTATCTCTGAGATGAAGGTCACCGAGAGTTTTATCACGTTCAATCACTGTCATACAAAATTTGTGTTTGCTTTCTTTGAATCAGCATCCTGAAGGAGTAATCCCATGATTTACAAATACCCTCTGTAAAGAAAACCGGTATGTGTTTCACTGTCTCTGGTATAATGCCCCCAGGCATGTTCTGCTTCTGGTCTCAGCTTACCAATCCACCCTATGTCCATACAATATGACAGTTATGGGTAAGCAATCAGGTCACTTCTACACCCCCTGCCATGCCTGCAGACTGCCATGATACCCCCTGCCCCTCAATACCGGAATTCTGTAATCCCCACCCTTGAGTGTCTAGAACCCAAGATTAAGACCTTAAAAGAGTCACAAAAGGGAGATAAGTAGGAAAAGCTAACAATTACTTTGTTAGCCTACTTGATTGGACATTTTTCCTATAACATAGGGCACAATGTTAATAAACACTCTCATTATAGGCTGAGAGCTGTCAGTGGTTATTCTGAGCTAAAGCTTCACACCAAACCTGTTCGCTCGTTGGTCAAGAACATAAACCCCTAACAATCATCTCCTAAAACACAATGTCCAGAAGAAACCAGTCTTCTTGTTCTCTAATGGTTGACATGGACTTTCAAGATCCATATTGTATGATGGATGGGATGCAGTTATCACGACAGTGTTACATAGTGCATTAATACAAACACATTTTACTGGAACCGCATCCACATGATGCCATGCATTTGAGATTCGGAATTTCACTCATCAGATGTGATCTCTGTATGTTTATTTATTTTATTTATTTATATTTATATATTTATATAGCGCCAATATCCAGATCACCTGCTCAGAGGCGCTTTGTTTTCCCCTCGATCATTGAACGTATTATCAATCTCAACTCCCTGGGGATCATACAACTCTTGCAGCCACTAGGCGCACAGAGTTAATGTGGCTTTCCAATCCTTACGAGGTACCCATTCACAGCTGGGTGGACTGGGACACGTAGTCACAGTATTTTGTCCAAGTTTACTGCACGTTGCTGTACCCGCAACTAAGTGTTTGCACGTATTCATGTGGCCACCATCTGGTCATATACCAACGGATTCATGGGTTCTTTTAAGTGCACAGGGTTGTGTACTGCACACTAGGAGTTGTGACAACACTGATAGAGTCTGCACGCAAAGTTGACTCCAAGGTTTTTACACCTGGTCACAGGTGGGCTCGATCCCGTCACCTCAAGCTCGCTGAATCACTAGCTTGGCGCCTTAGCCAGCTCGCCCACCACACCCCATATATCTAGTTGAATAGGACTTCATCTTTGAACCTGTACTAGTTAGGTAAATATATAAAATCTTCTTTTGCAAGATTTAGCATTTAATTAGATTAAAACTGAAATGTTGCTTGGTACATTAGCCTCGCATATTAATCCTAAAACAAAAATATCTCAAGGTCCCAAGCAAGTCTGCAACTTTACTTTGGCAACTTTAAATTTCTTCTGATAATGAAGAGAGTCTCTGGTATACTTTCTATTAGTTATTAGAGAACAATTTATTTAAGAATTATAAAAATATTTTCATTACTAAGAATACATGTTTGTCTGGTACATGCATTTACATTTTACAAGCTACTATAAATATTGTGGTTTGTCCACTTCAATCCAGGGTCAGCTGAAACACGACCGTGGCTGTTGTTTTCCCACTCGGCTAAAGTATGAGTATTTTCACAAAACCTTAATTATCATCAACCTGATATGGGATCTCTCTGATGCTTTACACAAGCTGTGCATGTCAAGGCATAATAAAGGTACTGGGAGGAGGTGAGTGACCACCATTAAATACCCCAACAAGCAGAAAATGAAAACCAATACAGAACTTAAAAGCTTGCCTGTCTCTGACGCTTACTGACCTTGATTGAAAAACAAATAAATTTACTAAATTTGGAACCAATTAATTTGAAAAGATTCTTTAATTTCAAACTATCCAATCAATAAAGTCCACTATGACATATTCAGTGTCGATCTTTCTGGTACTGAATCAATAGGTCAAGAGCAATGATGGATTGTTATGTTCATTGTGGACAAAAATATTTAAGTACAGAACAGACAGCCATTCATCTAATGCCTTGGATTTGTTATACAGAGTTGTATCCCTTAGATGTTTCCATGAAACACATTCTTGGTGTCCCTCCGTTGTGATATGACTTGAATGAGATTGGAATACGGCCTATTCCAAACTCAGACTGAATAACGTTCTGCGCACAACATGTACGATACCAGTTCATCATATACCGAGTACAAGTTCATCAAAAACCGTTTTGATCTCGCGAGAATCCATGGTCTCCATGGTGACTTGGTCTGTAAACGACGCCATTGTTGTTTAGCACCACTGTTGCAAGCTTCAAAGTTCTTCTATTAATTTGCGATTTGTGACACACTTCTCGCAAGCTCAGCACCATGTTTACGAGCGTTGCAAGCGTTTATCATCAAGGTATCTTATTAAAGTCTTGTGTTGGTATATTGCATTGTTTTCAAATAGATCTACATCAATATCTTTGGAACCGAAGGATTCGTTTTCCTGTTGATCAACAAACGTCTAGCCATATGATCGAAACTGCATTAAAATTAGGAAATATATATATTTATAATTTATTTACATTTTTATTTCAAAGCACAGGATTACTTTAGTTCCACTATTACTTCAGTTTCTTTCTTTTTCTATCATCATCAGTGTCCTTTGTAACCTCAATATTCTACGAAAGTAGCCTTGAGTGTTATTCTGACATTTATATGAGAACATTCTCAGGGGTCATGTCTTTTTTGCATAGTTTGTATTTCTGCTTCATTTCCCACGGCAGCCTGGGAAGAGTTGAGAAAGTCTCGACCACCAACCGTTGCTGGCTCCCTCTCCGACCTTCCTGGTCCTCTCCCAGTAGGTCATCTAGAGCATTAGGAAACAATTTTGCTGCTGTGTCTAAACTGAGGGCTTGTGACTAAATATAGAACACTGGCTCTTTGGTGAACATATTTAAATCACCTTGACATTTGTTTACACAGATTAACACATTTCAATATTATGATTTCTAGATTATAAGTAACCTCATTCATATTTATTTTACACTTCTGTACACTTTACTTATGCTGGAAACTATCTACAATCTCTTCTCTTTGCTCTCTAAGCTCCCAACTGCTGAAGTTAATTCCCAGCCTGTAACCCAGACCCCCACCCCAAACCCTGCCCTTCGCTCTCTGTATGGCTCCTCCATGAACCTGGATGAAGACATCCCCGAGATAGACTTGGGAGATCCCACTGGGCCCTTTGCAGTACAGCATGTCAGCTCTGAGACTTTTGTCATTATTGACATGAATGACATTGGAGAAACAAGCCTACCACAGTCACTTGAGACAACATGCTGCCCCAGTGTATTCAGCTTCATCAAGAGACTGTTCACTCTGTACTAAAAAAGACATTTGATTTGGCTCAACATTAGTGGAACTTTTAAAGTATTAATGAAACTACATATTTTTGTAAACTATTCTAAATCAACATCAGAAACTCATTCAGACAATTTGATGTTTGTACCTTTTGTACACAGCAAAATGTAAATACTTCTGTCACTTTATATGATTTGATACTCTAAATTGTGTTACTCTATTTATAAATGTTGTGTCTGTTTGGATGTGTTTGTTAATCTGTAATTATTTTTCAGTCTATACACTGCATATGTGCATATAACGGAAGTAAGTGACTTCCTGCATGATTTACACTATAGTAGTCCAGTATTTATATTAATGTGTTGATATGTAATGTATATATAACGTTGAGATAGTTATCTCAATAAACTCAAATCATTTGAAGACAGAAACATTCTAAATTTATACATATTTGAAGAAAGTCCTAATAAACACATATTGTGTTGGACCAAATGTGGGATTCAAACCCAGTATCAGTGGAAGTTGGGATGGTTTAGGAAGTTAGTCTGTCAGGTATAAAATCAAGACAAAACAAATATACAGTTGAGCACCGTTGTGTCGAACTCTGATAACTTATTATCTAGGTTGTCTCGATATAACATCTCGGTCCCGGCGAAATCCTTGATAATTTATCATTATTCAAGCTCTTTTAACTCGATAAGGATGTCTCGATATTTCGGATATCTCGATATAATTTCATGGTCCAAACAAGCAAAATTACTCTTTTAACTTGATATTTGCAAAGAAACTCGATATTCACCTACCTTTCATAGGCAAGTATCCCTCTGAACTGAGGTTGTTTCCACACGTTTACACACGGTGCGGCATGAATCAAAGGGATGCGGTAGTGTAAACTAATTAGGGCTAATTGAGTTGAAGGTGTCAGTTGTTTGTTATTTAATTAGGATTAACTAAGAAGGAATTAATTAGGAAGTACTCACTGTTACGACTAAACACTACTGATAACAGATTATAGTTTTAAATCAAACATGCTGAGAATCGATTGAGGGTTTTGTGCAAACACGTGACTAGTATGTGATTGTTGAGTTGTTTCTAAATTGCGGACTGAGAAATATGGATTAGGAGTCAATTTGAAAGCTATTGTGTTGTATCGAGAGTGGTTAGCTACTATCGCTTTCATGCCACCACCAAATGCCCATCAATCTAAACTTTCAGAATTCTCCGTTTCATCCGTTGAATAAATCCAACCTTTGTATAATTCAAGATGGACACTATAACATAAGCTGCGATCCCTGTGAGTAAATAGATATATATACATGAATAAACAGACATGAAATCTACTTTTTGTTGTGTTTTCTTTCATAGTGATATGTGATGATATGCCCTGCTCGGATGTCTCGAAGTTCGGATAACTCGATATTTTTTCTTGGTCCCAAGAATATCGAGACAATGGTGCTCAACTGTATTATAAAATGCAAAATCATTTAGAATTTTTATTAATCTAATAATGACATGAATCACTTGCTGAAAAATTCCATCTAAAACATGATATGTATATACACAGAATGAAGTCCATTATAAATGTAACAATGCTAGGTAGTGCCTTCCAGGTCGCGGCACAGACACTCACAAGGGACAGAATGGATGAGGACGGAATAGTATCACAGTTCGAGTGTTGGTGATGCTGGACGCTGCTGGTGTACATCCATGCCATACACATGGAGGGTCATGAGGAATGCGGTCAGGAATATCATCATCTCTTCTTGGACTTCATCTCCCTCAGCTGTTTCAGTTCATTTTCATGAAAATGAGACATGGCAGATGTTTCTGCAAGCTGTGGAACAATGTGTATATACGTTTAACAAAACCATTGATGTGACAGATATTTCTTTAAGCTGGAGTAAAGTGTATATACATTGGAAATGACAGTCCGTGCCAAACACTTTCTAGTCCACTGTACCAAACTTGGATCTCAGTAAAATTGTTTTGTACACATTAAGTTATAAACAATTAGCTGATCTTACTAGAACGAATAGTAAGCACGGCAAAGATTCCTGATTACTTAAGTTGTGTCTCAATAAAATAAAATGCATCATTTGAACTAGTGAATCAAATCAAATATGTACACCAAGAAAATGAGCATTAACTTGAATGTCTCATTACTCTACTGGCAATATCATTGAAGCCTGTAAATATTAGGTTTGAACCAGGAAACAAGTGACTCATGGCTTGAAAGCTAGACAGGATTCGGGTAAAATATTATTACACCTAACAGAGTGAGTAGTGAGCTGGGTTTTATGCCACTTTTAACAATATTCCAGCAATATCACAGCAGGGGACACCAGAAATGGGATTCACACATTATACCCATGTGGGGAATCAAAAACAGGCATTCGGCATGATGAGCGAATGCTTTAACCACTGGGCTATCATACCAACCCTCAACTTACAGGCCTTGACAACCCTATCCCCAATCTAAGACAGGAGCAAGGCCCTGGGGAACACCACTGACCTGCAGTCCAACCACAGGTTATCTAGCACATTAATGATGATATGTATTGTTTTAGAGAACAAGTGTCCAGGATATAATACTTCAGCATGATCAGGAACACACAGTGTGTATTACCCATTTAAGAACAATGATAACAAAAGGATTTGGTCATCAATATCTCCCGCCACAGTGTTTTGTTCCTATTTGATTCCTGTTTTTTTAACTCCACCACGACATTCATGTCATGAAAACACATACCACATTTGGTTTCCCTATCTACAATTGTTTCTGAGAAAATCTGTCCCCATTGGGGATACCGTGCACTATGTCAAGAAATGCATGACAACGGCGATAACACATATCAAATTCAGGTTTCTGTATCCATAACAGTTTCCAAGAAAATCTGTCCCAATCATCTCGCACGGACTGACAGAGCTCAAACCTATATCCCCTTCCCACATGTGGCGTGTACAAAAAGTACATATGCAGATCAAAACAAATCATCGATTACTGTAACTGACCAAAGAAACAGCTGTAATAGTGGACTCTCACTGTATCACTCACAATGTGAGATATCTGCATTTATTTGGTTATTTTGTTTTGGCAGAATACAGATAAGACAACTGTTTTCATAGAAATTTTGTATTATTTTTAATGCAAATCAGTAAACAGTAGCAAATAATAATTCCCTGTGTTGGGTGATGCGTAATTAAATGGGCAAAATGGCTGATTACATGTACCCAAATATTTGGCCCATATACAAAAACCTGTATACCCTGAATACTGACCATGTCTAGGAGGATGTCGATCTTAAACTTGAGGAGGTTGTTCTCTTCCTGTAACTGCTGGCTCTGCTTCCGCAGCCGACTCACCTCCTTGTGGCTGGCTCCACCAGCGCCACTCTCTGTAATCATGGTAACACGGCATCAGTATGTCAATATCTGAGTATTTTCCAAGAGAATATGAAAGTGTGATTTGGATAGCATCTGCTGATAAGAGTAATGTATTGTATCACATGGTTTTACAATGGTAAAGGTACAGATCCCATTAGCATCTTCTTGTGCATTATTTGAATAGCATAGAATGCCATTTCATCAAAATACTCTCGCAAGAAAGAGACAGTCTGTGATAAGATAGAGAGATGGTGGTGTGACATTACTTGCTGAGGGACTGTTCATAATTTATGGCTAGTGTGTGTGTGTGTGTGTGATGATGATGATTTTTTAAATATTTAATTTATTTATTTGTGTTTTTTTTTTTTTTTGGGGTCACCCATTTTGTTCTGGAGAGGAAGGGGGTCATCACGGTTGTACATGTGCACTAGAATTTTGTATATATTATATATTTAAAAAATGATAGGGAGTTGGGGGTCATTCATTTTGTACATGACATGCAGGGGAAAGTTACTTTGAAGATAAATCTTAGGGGGGTCAATCATTTTGTACGTGCTTCTCCATAAAAATCATCATCACACCCCTTGCCATAAATTATTAACAGTCCCTAAACAGGTGGTGAATACTGAGATGAGGTGGTGCAAACTGGGGTTGAACATTCTGTTAAAGATCACTGCACCTATACACTATGTGTGGGTAGCTGTTTGTATTACTTCAGTCTTATGTTAGTTTAATAGTTATATCCCACTGAAAAGAATAGCCACAGCAAATATTTTTCAGTAAACACATGACTTTTGATCATCAAAATAATGTAATTTTTAAAGTATTCTTACCAGGAATCCATATACCATTCTCAAAGGCTACCTCACTGCCACCCAGATTGACCTTGATTGGACCATAGTCAAGGCCAAACTCTGTCCTTGATTGTGTGGCATCAAGGTGAAGGTTGGACAAAGACTGGGCCCGTCTGGGTGGTGTCTTCTTGGGGGAGAACTTATTTCCAAATAGTGGCATCTGTAACACCAAAATCAAATCAGTTTTCCATGTTTACTTGTGGCAAGCATAATTCTAATTACTAATGCAAATAAGACAAATCAATCTACTTTTCCCTGAATAAATGAAAAATAACTTTGTTTTAATTTCACAATCTTACAATATTGCTACACAAAATACACATGATACAAGCACAATACATGATACATGCAATATAGATGATATAAAGCTGCTCGTACAACATTCACAACACAAAATCATGACATCCAAAAAGAATGTTCTGTTTCACTAACAACTAAAATCCAATAATATAATGACTACATACTGAAGTGGCAAGAAAAATAGGTTCTTTAGTACAAAACACACCAAAACTGTTGAACAAGCAGTATTCATCACACTCAATGCATAGGATAAATTCCAGTTGGTACAAAAATGACATGGTTAAACATGGTGAGTATCAAATGATTAATTACTAAAAAGTCTTAGAAAAGCTATATGTACAAGTTACTATGATGATGTAACTAAACACTATTAAATGAGTCTTCAAAAGTGATTAAGTGCAAAACAGTCTGTGCAATCTCAAATTGTTCCATTGGATCAGTCCAGTTTGCTCAATGTAACGTTTGAAGCTAATCTGAATGGAATTGTCTTGTTCATGGCAAGCATAGCAGCAGCTGCAACTTCAGCAGCAAAACAGAGTATATGTTAGAGACAGAATTAATTCACAGCTTCAACTTGTTCAAGGAGACAACCGATTATTTATTTTTTAGGAAATATTCTGTCCAGGGCATCAAGCATGTCCAGTAAATATTTGTTTTAGGTATGTTTAACCTGAGTTACTGGAGTCAGCCATTTCTCCTGAGTGTATGTGTGTCCTTGGCATGATGAATCCCACACAAAGTTCACACAATTAAACCCTTTTAATGTATCAATATAATCATAATTCTTCAATTTGTTCATTTAAACATAAGCCGCACCAGAGATGTAATTCTACAATTTCATTTAGATTCAGCATATCCAGTTTAGTGATCCAAAGACGTGAAAATAGAAAATGTAGATGACTGTAAGATATGAACTGGATGAAGAGTGATGACAAGGGATAAGATCATAAAGTGAAGAACGGTGGAAAGCCTTGTGACAACTCGAACTCGTGATGAACATTGTTGATGGTGTATCACTGAATGGGACAAGGATTACATTAAGTACACCCACTGTTGTCTGAGCCGCCAGTGTAGGTATTACAGATACACTATAACCACACATCTACAAGTGCAAGTGAAACACAAGAATATATATGAGTTTGATAAACAATGCATATTTTGTGATTAATGGTAGCTATGAGATTGAGAAGGAAAATCTATTATCATAGGTGTGTGATGATGTATTATTCCAATGGAAATCTTTTTGGACATTTTGCTTGTAAAGATCATATCATGATTTACTGCTTATTCAATCAATTCTTATAACAATTCAAACAGAAGGCCACAGAGATGTGATGAACATGATGAACAAATAATTAAGGACTCTTGGTTCAGATTATTCAGCATGTTTAATTTCATATTTTCTTTAAAAATGTAGATGCCAGATCTACAGCAAACATGTACATGATATGACTGACATATTTACATCTTGTAAATCAACAAATTGCACAGTAGAGCCTAACGACTCATTATCAGGTTAACAGTGGCACTATCCTGGAGTACTTATAATGAGCAATGATTCCATGACTTCTACATAATCACACCTCTACATCTGCAAAATAGACAGGATAGTATTTGATCATAAAAATATGAATGAGTTCAACCTGCATGATGGCGCTATCACTGTAAATGAGCAAAAACAAAAAGGTGAACATGGTGAGTTATGTATGATGCATTTAGTACATTCAATGTCAATGACAGCTCGGTGAATGAGAGGCTTTCTGATAACACTATATGTGCTTTGTGGAAAAATATATCATCTTCAAAATGTGAATGTTTTAGTTTCAGGTTTAAGTTCTTCAACACATGGTACATATCAACCATTTACATTGATTTTTATTTGGCATAACTGTAAGCAGGCAAATGCAAGTGCATCAAGACAGAAATACAGCAGAGACCGAATTGTCCACTTGCTCCAACAACCGTACAGAGTGACAGGTTTATGACTGTCAAATGTACGGGTGAAATCTTGGACACTATAGAACATAAGTTCTATATGAATGTTTTACATAGACTTTTTCTATGGCCATTTTGACGGCTAGAAATGAACTTACCTCACAGCCCTCTCTGCTCGCTGCGTTGCAATTATTGTGGTATAGCGTCAACCATCAACAAACAACCCTTTACGATCCTTTGGGTTTAGTGTTAGGGAACCTTTCCGATCCTTAGGGTTTAGGGCTAGCACCATTTCCGATCCTTAGGGAGCTGACGCATCTTTAGACTAGAGTCAAACAACAACCCTAACCCTAAGGATCGTAAAGGGAGCAGCGAGGGCTGCGCCTGGTAAAATGCATTCTAGCCAGTAATCGGACCAAATGCATTATGTTAAAACCAATTAGCTTTGCAATGTGCAAATAATGATAGGAACTGACTTGGCGAACAAGATGCAACATGCATGTCGGCATGATTCCGTGAGACTAATTTACTCATGATCGCAAATCAACTACACACAAATCAACCAAAACACCCACAAAGCTAATTACAACACTGATATCACATCGGAAGTATCTAGGTAATACATACGTCAGAGAGTGCTTCTCATAAAAAGTCAAAGTTGATGACAGTGACAACACTTGGAGATAAACTTTCCGGAAGTGAAATACGCCATCTAGGAAGGGAGATAACCATCAACCTTAAAGAAGCAGCTGTAAAATCCTTCCTTGGTGTCTTGGCAAATGAAACGCGGGAACAAAATACTTTTGCAGATCCAAAGAGGATACGAGTAAATTCGAAACCTAAATGCTGTGGAGAAAATAAACAATGGCTGCTTCGAAATGTATTTTCTTCATCGATGTTAGTCAATGTTAGTCTCATATTAATGCTATTTTAGAGAAGACTAACCAACCAACTGCTAAAGTACTGTCGGAAATAGAAAAACACTGTTTTTTTCACATTTATGCCTGCAATTTAGGTAGTTTATATGTGAAAGTGTGGAATATCTGTTGAACCAAGTTCGACCTAACTACAGTCGCGGTGGGAGGGAGATAGGAAACGTAAAAGAAGGATTTTACTGAGGAGAGATTAGTGCAGAAATGAGCAATTGCGGTTCAATGCGAATTATTTAGAACAGACCTTGGGTTTATGCAAATTAGTGTGCGGTGATATTGTATTAGGGGCCGTTCATAAGTTATGGCTAGAGGGGGTGTGGGGTGTGTGTGTGTGTGGGAAGAAATGATTTTTATGGAGCAGCATGTACAATGTGAATGACCCCCCCTTAAAGTTTATGTACAAAATCAATGACCCCCTCTCCCCTTCCCATAATTTCTAAGCATAATTTTAAACATATCTTCATGTACAAAATTGCTCCCCCCGTACGTGTGTACAAAATTTATGTCCCTCCCACAGCTCCTCAGAACAAAATGGGTCCCCCCTTAAAATCATCATCAACCCCCTAGCTATAAATTATGAACGGTCCCTTACAAAGGACACTTTTTAAATGATCATTTTGAAATTAGACTTACCTTCATTATAAACGATAGCAGACGTAAAAAATAATAACTTAAATACTGAAACTATGAAGGATGTAGCTACCATGGCTTCTCACTATCACTATAAAAAGAAATAGGTAGGGGGTTCGTCTCAAAAGCAAAACCAGGACGGGTGTCGCAGACAGTGGTTGGGGTTGGGCTGGGGTATTGAGATATCAGCTAAGATAAGATAATCAATAGAGACATAAACTGACGAGCAAAAGAAAGTACACAGGTGTTATTGTTGTTGCAATCCTAAATATGCGTTCTAACTAATAAAATTATTGAAAAACATTGATTGTATAGAACGCAACCATCATGTTTCATTTGCCAAAATGCAACCAAAAACATTTGTACGTGTTTTGCACGAATTTTTGCAAAATTGTGATTATTGTCCAATGCACCAGCACTTTTCTGACAGAGTGTATAAAACCTGTTTGTCGTGAAGACTGAACAATCACTTGACAGAAAGCTCACGAGGAAATGCCAAGATTGACGTCGGTGCAACGAGAATGGACCAAAGGAATGACACAAATGGGTGCTTTCAACAGCGATATTGCAAGGACATTGGGTTGCACAAGACAAACCACAATTCGGCTGTTTAACCGTTTCAGTACGACAGGCCAGACATGTGATCGACCCGGAAGTGGACGTTCCAGAGTCACAACACCCCAAGAGGATCGCTATCTGCGGGTTATTCACCTACGCAACTGGATGTTGACGGTGACGTCATCAGCAGCCACATCATTGGGTCATCGCGTATGCTGATTCACAGTGACAAGACGACTTCGTCCTGCTGGCATGTGTGGGCCTACCGACCGCTGCGTGGAATGGCCTTTACCTTCCAGCATCGTAGGAACCGTCTGCAGTGGTCATCACTACATCGCTGTTTATTGTTACAGTGTCATTTTGCTGATAAAACACGTGCATTGCAGTGTGCTTCAACATACATTTTCCATTTCATCAAAAGGTTTTGCTATTTTTATCTTATTGGAAGAAACACAACCTGTGTACTTTCTTTTGCACATCAGTTTAGTCAATACACATGAAAAAAAGTTTCATAGAGTAAACCATTTCAATAAGTTTCTGTAAAACTTCATATATTCAAACAACATAATTGTTTCAAAGTGCACCGAAATAATTCTATCCCCTTTGTCTGTTTAATGTATTCAGCAATCATTCTGTGTAGCCCTCTTACTAAACTCCCCTCCGGGCAGGACCCTTAATTCTTAATGCTATCAGCAGGGATAATCTACAAAATTAACTAAGTTACTGGTATCAGTGAAATCACATCTAGACATTCGAAACAACATGACGGCAGATATATTCCCAGGAACATAATACTTTTAGTTACAACTTTGTTGCCCGGGAAGATCCAGCAACAGGTGCTTGTTGTAGGAGCCGTTACACGAACGTGGTCAGGTGGTCAGGTTCGCTGACGTGATTGAAACATGTCATCGTATCCAAAGCGCACAGATCGATGCTCATGCTGTTGATCACTGGATTGTTTGGTCCAGACTCGATTATTTACAGTCTGCCGCCATATATTTGGAATATTGCTGAGTGCGGCTTTAAACAAACAAACAAACAAACAAACGAAAAAGTTACAACTTTGCAGTCTAATTATACCCCGTTCGCATGCACTTGTTTACACACGTGAGCTAATTTACACACCATGTAAAAAATACACCCGTGTGTAAACATGTCATGCGAACGCATCTTACACACGTGGGTATATTTACACAAGGAGCAAATTTGCATGTGGTCTGGAGGTCATGTACATGTATACTAGTATTTACACACACACGGGAGTGTATTCCAAGTTATTTCATTAACAAAACAATTTATATTTTGATGTTTAAACATCAGAAGTTAGACTCACAAGGTATCATTCTAACCTGAAAGATGAGGACTTTTGTTATACATAATGTATACCCCATTTTGTAAAAAAAATTGGTAACATACTTGTCAACGCTGTCATCATGGCGATATTGTCGAGCCAAGACTCTAACGTGTTATTAAACTTAGGAGTTAGTATATTCTGTTTCACCTCCTAACACCTGAAACATATGACAGCAGTATCTGATAATCATTGGTACCAAGTCTAGACTCATGTTGGTAAGTAACTGTAATGTGATTGTTGACCTTGTAACGCCAATTCAGCGATTACCACTTTATAGGTTATAGTCCGTTAGACAATAAGTCAGCAGACAAGTTGCTAACTTTGGACCTGATGACCTGATCGACAGGGTGTAGCATCGTCCCCAGGATCCCTGGGTTCCTCCTCGTCCTGGTGCGCATCCCACTGATCATCTGATCGACAGGGTGTAGCATCGTCCCCAGGATCCCTGGGTTCCTCCTCGTCCTGGTGCTCATCCCACTGATCATCTGATCGACAGGGTGTAGCATCGTCCCAGGATCCCTGGGTTCCTCCTCGTCCTGGTGCTCATCCCACTGATCATCTGATCGACAGGGTGTAGCATCGTCCCCAGGATCCCTGGGTTCCCCTCGTCCTGGTGCATCATCCCACTGGGATCATCTGATCGACAGGGTGTAGCATCGTCCCCAGGATCCCTGGGTTCCTCCTCGTCCTGGTGCTCATCCCACTGATCATCTGATCGACAGGGTGTAGCATCGTCCCCAGGATCCCTAGGTTCCCCCTCGTCCTGGTGCTCATCCCACTGATCATCTGATCGACAGGGTGTAGCATCGTCCCCAGGATCCCTGGGTTCCTCCTCGTCCTGGTGCTCATCCCACTGATCATCTGATCGACAGGGTGTAGCATCGTCCCCAGGATCCCTGGGTTCCTCCTCGTCCTGGTGCTCATCCCACTGATCATCTGATCGACAGGGTGTAGCATCGTCCCCAGGATCCCTGGGTTCCTCCTCGTCCTGGTGCTCATCCCACTGATCATCTGATCGACAGGGTGTAGCATCGTCCCCAGGATCCCTGGGTTCCTCCTCGTCCTGGTGCTCATCTGATCGACAGGGTGTAGCATCCCGATCCCCTGGGGATCCCTGGGTTCCGACCTCGTCCCCTGGTGCTAGGTTCCCCCTCGTCCTGGTGCTCATCATCTGATCGACAGGGTGTAGCATCGTCCCCAGGATCCCTGGGTTCCTCCTCGTCCTGGTGCTCATCCCACTGATCATCTGATCGACAGGGTGTAGCATCGTCCCCAGGATCCCTGGGTTCCTCCTCGTCCTGGTGCTCATCCCACTGATCATCTGATCGACAGGGTGTAGCATCGTCCCCAGGATCCCTGGGTCCTCCTCGTCCTGGTGCTCGTCCCACTGATCATCTGATCGACAGGGTGTAGCATCGTCCCAGGATCCCTGGGTTCCTCCTCGTCCTGGTGCTCATCCCACTGATCATCTGATCGACAGGGTGTAGCATCGTCCCCAGGATCCCTGGGTTCCTCCTCGTCCTGGTGCTCATCTGATCGACAGGGTGTAGCATCGTCCCCAGGATCCCTGGGTTCCTCCTCGTCCTGGTGCTCATCCCACTGATCATCTGATCGACAGGGTGTAGCATCGTCCCCAGGATCCCTAGGTTCCCTAGGTTCCTCCTCGTCCTGGTGCTCATCTGATCGACAGGGTGTAGCATCGTCCCCAGGATCCCTGGGTTCCTCCTCGTCCTGGTGCTCATCCCACTGATCATCTGATCGACAGGGTGTAGCATCGTCCCCAGGATCCCTAGGTTCCTCCTCGTCCTGGTGCTCATCCCACTGCATCATCTGATCGACAGGGTGTAGCATCGTCCCCAGGATCCCTGGGTTCCCCTCGTCCTGGTGCTCATCCCACTGATCATCTGATCGACAGGGTGTAGCATCGTCCCCAGGATCCCTGGGTTCCTCCTCGTCCTGGTGCTCATCCCACTGATCATCTGATCGACAGGGTGTAGCATCGTCCCCAGGATCCCTAGGTTCCTCCTCGTCCTGGTGCTCATCCCACTGATCATCTGATCGACAGGGTGTAGCATCGTCCCCAGGATCCCTGGGTTCCTCCTCGTCCTGGTGCTCATCCCACTCATCATCTGATCGACAGGGTGTAGCATCCGTCCCTCGGATGCTCCCTCGACAGGGTGGTTCCTCCTCGTCCTGGTGCTCATCCCACTCATCATCTGATCGACAGGGTGTAGCATCGTCCCCAGGATCCCTGGGTTCCTCCTCGTCCTGGTGCTCATCTGATCGACAGGGTGTAGCATCGTCCCAGGATCCCTGGGTTCCTCCTCGTCCTGGTGCTCATCCCACTGATCATCTGATCGACAGGGTGTAGCATCGTCCCCAGGATCCCTAGGTTCCTCCTCGTCCTGGTGCTCATCCCACTGATCATCTGATCGACAGGGTGTAGCATCGTCCCCAGGATCCCTAGGTTCCTCCTCGTCCTGGTGCTCATCTGATCGACAGGGTGTAGCATCGTCCCCAGGATCCCTGGGTTCCTCCTCGTCCTGGTGCTCATCCCACTGATCATCTGATCGACAGGGTGTAGCATCGTCCCCAGGATCCCTAGGTTCCCCCTCGTCCTGGTGCTCATCCCACTGATCATCACATATCTAGTTATGCATTTCACAAACATTTTACCAAAATGCAATGGCAGCAATGATACTGCAGGCAAACTGCATTCTTGCACGACCTATAAGTCTGTAATTGATAACCCTTTGTTCATCTGAAAGCATATCTCTGTGAAAATATGGTTTCAGAAGTCATGATCTTAGGATGTAAGATCTCCCAGGTTAACTACTGGAAGTCAGGACATCTCCTTGTTGGTGAGCATAATCTTCCTTGACCTCTGTGCAAATTAAAAAGATTCTTCACCTCGACAAAAAGATCTCAAACTTTGAAAACAATCTTGCGTCGTGGACACCACCAGGTCACCCACTGTTAATGCCTCTGAACACATTCTTCTGATCACATATTCCTTGAAGTATCAGTGAGTGCCACCCTTTTCTATTCAGGTAGTCCCCGTGGGACTTTTGTGGACCAATTATGGCAGCCGTCTATTGCTCGCGAAACAGTTTGTCAAATTTCCATTTCTTCTCGAAACCTTGAATGACGTCTCGGATATCTTCATGTTTAAGGAAAACCACGGACTCGTCTTGTAGAACATCTTCAAGATCTGAATAAACATTAATACGATCAAAGACCGTTGTTTTACCAACTGCAAATAGATTTGAAACTATTCTGTACTCTGAAGTTGGGGCAAACCAATACAGATCAATAGCAACCGTTTTCTTGTATCTAAAGGAAGATGTACATCGATTTCTTTTGGGATACTCTTCCACTTTGGTATGAACCAACTCAAATCCATCTTTAGTCGTTCTAAAATTGTCATACCAATCTTTGTCGTCGTCTAATCATATCGTCCCACCATGTCTTGGTAGGGAACCTTTCTCTCCGATAGCTCTGCAGTATGTCCACTACGTCAAGCTTTTGACTAAATCGTGAATTAATACTTGAATGAAAATAATATTTACATACCCTATTTACGTACATATTGCTTATCTATCATGCGAACGCATAGTAAATTTACATCTACACATTTGTGTTTATTTGCATATATGTAAATATGTAAATATGCTCACATATGTAAGTCATGTGCATGCGAACAGGGTACTAGACTGAACATTGCAGAGTTTCATGATGATACGTTTGTATTTAACTCCATTGACAAATACTGCATATGAATAATAATATACACCGAACATGTCAAAAAGACATTGACTGAACATATATCGTTACTATTCTGCAATACAAGGAAGGCGCACGAGCTGCCAGTGGCCCAGTCAGGGCATCCATTTTCGCTGTAAAAGGGTGCTACCCCTGAAGGTCCAGGTTAGAATATTAATCTTCAGTAAGCCATGCTTGTCGTAAGAGGCGACTAACGGATCCAGTGGTCAGGTTTGCTGACTTGGTTGACACATGTCATTGGTTCCCAATTGAGAAGACCGATGCTCATGCTGTTGATCACTGGATTGTCTGGTCCAGACTCCGATTATTTACAGACCGCTGCCATATAGATTGAATATTGCTGAATATTGCGGTGTAAAACTGAACTCACTCACTCACTCTTGGCTTTAAGGGGACGTGGGGTAGCCTAATGGTTAAAGCATCCGCTCATCACCCTGAAAACCTGTATTCGATTCCCAACATGGGTACAATGTTTGAAGCCCATTTCTGGTGTACCCCACGGGGATATTGCTGGAAAAGTGGCATAAAACCATACTCACTCACTCACTCTTGGCTTTAAGGGAATAAAACATGTGATGAATGGCTCTGAGACCGGTATCCTATTAAACTTTGCTTGGTATCCCAATGTTTTAGCACTAATGAATCTATTTTTCATGTAGTTTATACTGAGGTCACTGCACTACTACCGTCACATATGCATTTCAAATATTGCAGAAGCTCTTCGAGCCCATGAAGATGGGGGTTGCAGTTGGTAGTTACCAAGGCTACTAAATGGTGCTCAGGTTGACTGACATGTCATCTTATCCCAATGGTATACATCGATGCTCATAATGTCAGTCACTGGATTGTATGGTCCAAACTCAATTATTTAGAGACCACCACTATATACGATTTGGAACATGGCTGAGAGCAGCGTTAAGCAAATAAATGTAGCAACGTTGGGTTGTTTTAATGTAAGATAATAAAAAGGTTTAATACTCAACCACTGCCTGACATTGAAGAAATGTCTAGTGAAAACAGCTGCAAGGTTACATCATACTGCATAGCCATTCATGTGATGTAAGCTGAGAGCTCACTGGTCTGAACACTCACTGGACCCAGGCTTTGATATCACTCTGCCTCCACTGTAGGGGTATTAGTCTATTGGCTATTCTGGTCAGTGAGTGAGTGAGTGAATTTAGTTTTACGCCGCTTTTAGCAATATTCCAGCAACATCACGGCGGGGGACACCAGAAATGGGTTTCACACATTGTACCCATGTGGGGAATGAAAACCGGGTCTTCGGCATGACGAGCGCACGCTTTAACCACTAGGCTACCCCACCGCCCCCAATTCTGGTCAGAATCACCAACATGCTTCCTGATAAATTTTTCAGTTTTTCTGCTGATGGCATAAATAGAGATTATTTACCAAGTGTGTGTCCGTGTCATTAATATCATATATTAGGAATAAAAATTGTATTATGCGAGCCATTGGCGAGCATAATACATAATTTGTATTCCTAATATATGATATTGATGATATGGAAACACACTCGGTTAATAATCTGTTTATCATATAATGTCATTCTTAAAATTACTCTTAATAAAGAAGCAAATCGTACTTGAATTTATATTAAGAGAATCGAGCATTCGCGTAAGGATACTTAGCGGTACACCAAGGTGAAATAAGATCTGTCTGTCTAAAAAGAACAACATGTTTCTATTTTCATTGCGGGTAATCACCTCATCAATATCAGTTTCTGATACCTGACGGAATCGATTCGTCGTCTGTATTGTGATCGAAATCCTTCGTTGGTACCTTTCTTACACGATTGCCTTTCAGTCGTGCCTCATAATCCGTACCTTCAGTTCGAACGAAGTACTCCGTTTCATGTTTTCCAAAGTCAATTACTGCAGTAACGACTCCAGAACCTCTATCATCAATTCTTACTGAGTCACCAATTTTGAGAATGGGGGGCACTCTCCTACCCAGAGTTCTATGCGGCCAGCCAGCATAGTACCTCTGCCACAGGCCAGAAAGATGTGAAGACTGGTCACATCTTGCACCGTCCATTCAATATAATGTACATATTTTTTAACTCTTTTATATTTGACGAGTCTACACATCTAATTAAACATCTTTGATAGAATGGTTTAGTTTCACTCAGAAAATATCCTAAAACATGTAAAACTATTTCGATTTGCGTAGCGATCCTTTGTTTACATAGGTTGTAGGGCTCCACCTGCTGTCAATGAAGCCGACGAAGAGCAAACGATGCAACCAGTTTGATATCTATATATGTACTATCATAAACCTTACTGTCACAGTTGTGGAAGAATATATATGTAACAATGTAAAACATTATGACTGACTGACTGAGTTTAGTTTTACGCCGCTTTTAGCAATATTCCAGCAATATCACGGCGGGGGACACCAGAAATGGGCTTAACACATTGTGCCCATGTGGGGAATGGAACCCGGGTCTTCGGCGTGACGAGCCAACGCTTTAACCACTAGGCTACCCCACCGCCCCTAAAACATTATGAAGAGCGCGCCAAAAAGCTTGCGTAGGGCCAGTCTCTTCTTATTATGAATATGCGCGTTTGTTTACAAACAAGAGAAAAGTCCGGTCACGTGATATGCAAATTAGTTGCAGTGATGTTATGCTAAGTCATCACTGCGCCGGAGTGGTGTGGACTGGGGGCAGCCATGTCTGTTTACAAACAATGTAAACTCGCGAAGATGTCATCAATAAAATGTTAAACGTTTTTGGATTCGCAATGGAGATTTGTGAAAGTAGTTCGTGGATTGACATAATTTGCATAGTTATCAGATTTGGATACAAAATTTATTAGATTGCATTATTGCACCGATAACACCCTCCATTAGATGATGAAACAACATTCACTCACTAATGAACTCAACTGTTTCAGCCAAAACATGAAGTTTATTCCATGCCAGTCCGACAGATCTATACACTATATACACTGTTAGATACATATCAGCAACATGTACACAATATACAAAAGCTGTTCTTGGTGCACATCAACCAGGGTCTTTGTGAGGGCATGTTCGTTTTGTGTGACCTGAAATATAAACACCCATGTTAGTACATTCAGTGTACATTCGGATACATGCACAACCAAAGTGCCTGATCACTCCTTTTCACTGAACTGAATTTATTTTCATACTTTCAGGTGTTTGAACAGAGTGGCTGATATGTCTGACTGTGAACTGTTGCCATTCATATTGATTGTTTTTTATGCAATGTTCAGAAATGAAGTAAACTCACATCACTCATGTAAATGTTTTCATTTGCTAAAAATCAGTACTAATCCATTATTAAGATTACATAAATCAAAAGTCCCATTGAAACAGAATACAGAATATATTATGACCTTCACCTTTAACAAAACCTAATGAAAGTCTCTACTTCTCACCCACACAGCTCCCTGCTAATAAACATGCTGTAGAGTGTGCTCACCTTCTACTCCACACAACCCGCACTTTCTCTTCTTCCCTAAAGGACCTCCAACTTCTCCAGAAGCAGCTCTCTTCCTCCCTCCTCCTCCTCCATAGCCACCACTCGGACCACTCCATCCACCTCCACCTCCACCCCCACCTACAACATTATACAGGCTTTATCTAATGACACAATGTGTAACAGTTTACATTTCCATAGTGAGTTAGTGCTCCATTTAACTCATGAATGCTTGCTTAGCCACCAACTGTTTACATGAAGATGTCATGTTCCAACACAGCTTTGAACAGTATTAAGTTATGTCATGGTATGCTGACATAATAAGTGAGCTCCTATGGAGTGAGTGAGTGAGTTTAGTTTTACGCCGCTTTTAGCACTATTCCAGCAATATCACGGTGGGGGACACCAGAAATGGGCTTCACACATTGTGCCCATGTGGGGAATCGAACCCGGGTCTTCTGCGTGATGAGCGAACGCTTTAACCACTGGGTTACTCACCGCCCCGAGCTCCTATGGAACAGGCCATGGGCTAGGAAATGATGTTTAGTGTCACTATAGACCGTTTGGCTCAAAAGCGGACCGATGAATTGCAATCTTACTCGAAAACTAATAAACATATAATACCCAATGAAACACTCATCATAATCAAAACATCAGACCAACTCTGTGATTTGTTTGCAGAATTTATGTCCTAAAATTAAAAAAGTTGTTTAACAAACTATCATTAAAATTTTGACACAGTTCACTTTTTGTTACGAGGGAGGAGTGCAGAGCAAGGGACATCCAGGTGTTAGAGAAGCACGTGCACAAGTACCGACAAAGTTATTGATTCATTAACCCGTGCTGTGCCTTCTCCATCCGTTCTCGAACACCTGGCTGTCCCTTTTCCATGCACTCCTCCCTCGTAACAAATAGTGAACTGTGTCAATATTTTAATGATAGTTTGTTAAACAACTTTTTTATTTTTAGGACATACATTCTGCAAAAACCTCACTGAGTTGGTCTGATGTTTTGATTATGATCAGCGTTCATTGAGTATTATATGTTTATTAGTTTTCGAGTTAGACTGCAATTCATCGGTCCGCTTTTGAGTCAAAAGGACTATAGTCCACAATGAAGGTCTCTGATGCAGAATTGCCATCTACCTAACAGTAAATGTGGTAGTCCATAAAAAAATGTCACTACTGGTCCTAATTGTTAAGTGTCCTTGATCAGAAGATTTAACAAAATCTCAAAGCATGAGATTTGTAAAAGTCCACGACCAAGGAATGGTGTCAAGGAACCCATCATTGAACTTTATTTTGTGTAGTGAGGGTGCCGGAATATATGTAATGGATGTTACGTGAGCGTGTGCATGTGCGTAATGAAATTCACAGCCCCAAATTAGGTGAATGAGCTCTACACAGCAGAACCCAGTCCCTTGCACCATAGTATCATCAATGCCCCCAAATGTGCAGAGATATGCGAATGATCTGCAAGAATAATCTGGTATTTAAAACATTTATCTTTCCTTTACAGAGGCATATTTGAGCCACCAATGTATTCCTACCTCCTCCTCCTCCTCCTCCACCACTACCCACGTCATCGGCCCACTGGAAGAAGTTACAACCCTGGTCTCTGGGTTTGGGGCAACCATGGAATTGTCTCCCTTTGTTTGGGCCTTCCTTCTGTACAGTGAGACTGAAGGGAAACAGAAATTGTTGATCATACATATACAAACAAGAAGACAAAGTCATCAATATCCCCCGCAATGGCTAAATACTCTTCATGATTATGTCAAATATTTAGGTGTGTATATAGAAAAGTGGAAGGAGAGTATTGAAAGGTTTTTAAAGTTCAGCTCCGGAAAAGAGCTCTACCACCAATTTCAGGCTAAGTCAAACCTGTTGCCACGGAAACGCCAAAAATATTTTATTCAGAAATCCAAAACTACCAAAAGGCACCAGTACACCACCAGATCTATGTATGTGCCAAGTTTGGTGAAGAAACATTGAACGGTTTTAGAGTTCTGCTCCGGAAAAGAGCACTACCACCAATTTCAGTTTTAGTCAAAGTTGTTGCCATGGAAATGCCAAAAATAATTTATTCAGAAATACAATACTACCAAAAGGCGCCAGTACACCACCAGATCTATCTATGTGCCAAGTTTGGTGAAGAAACATTCGGTTTTAGAGTACAGTGCACTGCCACCAAAAATAATTTATTCCAAGTACACCACCAGATCTTTGAAGAAACATTGAACGGTTTTAGAGTACAGTGAAATCCAAAACTACCAAAGGCACAAGTACACCACCAGATCAATCTATGTGCCAAGTTTGGTGAAGAAACATTGAACGGTTTTAGAGTTCAGCTCCGGAAAAGAGCACTACCACCAAGTTCAGGCTAAGTCAAACTTGTTGCCGCGGAAACGCCAAAAATATTTTATTCAGAATTCCAAAACTACCAAAAGGCACCAGTACACGACCAGATCTATGTATGTGCCAAGTTTGGTGAAGAAACATTGAACGGTTGTAGAGTTCTGCTCCGGAAAAGACAAATGTGCACGGACGGACGGACGCACGGACGGACGGAGTCCATTTTAATACCCCCCGCAAAACGGGTTGCGGGGGATAACAAATAACTCCAGAAAATGAACTGATTTTTATCATGTGACACAAGAACAGCACCTCTCATAATGTTAAAACTAATTAGGCCGTTCTTTTTCACCAATACATTTCCAAAAAACCATGCTCTGGCTGGTTGTAATATAAATTACTATGCAACGTAGAATTTCAGAAATATCTTTGTGTTTTTTGTAAAAAGATCTCTCAACAGTATCATTGGTTGGGTGAAATATAACAGGTGAAAGTATTCAATGAAATCTTGAAGCGTTCATATTCACACAACTTACAACTTTGCTGTCTGCCCACATCTACATACAACAGCATCTCCATGTCCTGAACTTTGATTCCAGGAACTAGTGGACTGATTAGAACTTGGAGGCCGCGAGGAAGACCAACTGTTATCAAGTCTTGAGCTAAAACAACATATTCACAGCTGTAAATAGGTGGTATTTATTGTCAAGATTTAGTCAAGATTTACAGTACCATTCAAGGGCAAGAACTGCCTCTCTGCAGAATTAGGACTTCAACCCACTGATCTGTTCTGCAGTTGCTAACCATTGCCAAAAGTCTGCTGTGCTATCCTTATCGTTTTGGGGCAGCTAGGTAGTAGCCTAATGGACAAAGCATCTGCTCGTCACTCTGAAGACCCAGGTTCAATTCCCCACATGGATACAATGTGTGAAGCCCATTTCTGATGTCTGCTGTCGTGATATTGCTGGAATATTGCTAAAAATGGCATAAAACCATACTAACTCACTCACTATCCTCCCAGTAGTTTCATTGGATTAATTGTTCCACAGAATTGCCAGGAAAAAATGAAATACACTTAGACTCATGTATCTTTCAACATCTACAGATATAGTGAATAGTTATCTAAGATATAGTTCTTCCCGACCTATACCCGGTATATGTTCCACTAGGTTGATCACACAAGTCAACATGCTGTAAAGGTAGCATGTGTTTGTACTGGAAGTACCAACCTGTTTCCTGATGATCTCTGGTTGTTTTCATCAGCCCACAAGAAGAACGTACAGCCTGTCCCACTGGGTTTGCTACACTTGTAGAACTGACGACCTGTCACACACAGATACCTGTCGTAAGTCAACATGTAGTAATACGTCACATCTGTTTTGGACAGATTGTCGCACAAACATTTGTGGCAAGAATATATATGAGACACTTGGATTCTTTGGGAAGTGTAAACCAATTGATCAATTTTAGTGTATCAGACAAGCAGTGTTATGGGACAGAACATACAATTCTGCCTGTCATAGAAGAGCTTCAAAGAAATGTTACAGGATTTAGTCTCACATATACAATGACTGATGTCACCTGATGCAGTAGAAACACTGTTGTGTCAAACTTTGATTTGTCAAATTTATGATTGTCTGGAAGTAAAAGCTTGGTACCTGTGTATTCAAAACACCACACATATTAGTCCAGATATATTGGCCAGTAAACAGTAATATATACCTGATATATATTGGCCAGTAAACAGTTATATATACCAGATATGTACTTGCCATTAAACAATTATATATACAAGATATATACTGGCCAGTAAACAGTTATATATACCATATATATATATATATATAGACCAGTAAGCAGTTATATATACCAGATACATACTGGTCAGTAAACAGTATTATATACCAGATATATACTGGCCAGTAAACAGTTATATATACTGGATATATACTTAGCAGTAAACAGTTATATATATCAGATATAGATGGACTAGTAAACAGTTATACATACCAGATATAGATTGACTACTAAACAGTTATATATACCAGATATAGATTTACTAGAGTAGTATACACAATGGGGCTACAGGACCAGGTCCCCCTCTAGGGGCTCAATTTTTAAACAGTTAAACATTTAACTAATCCCTAATCTCGTAGCCCCATTGTGTATACTACTTCTAGTAAACAGTTATATATACCAGTTATACTGGACAGTAAACAGTTATACATACCAGATATAGACTGACTAGTAAACAGCTATATATACTGGCCAGTAAACAGTTATATATACACCAGATATATACTGGCCAGTAAGTGTGGGCTAGAGAAACCAGAGATTGACATCATGACAAATGTTCCATGCCATCAAGGTATAAGAACACACACCTGATCAAGTTCATCAAGCACAGGTTGCTGGGGACCAGTTCTAATCACTCTCCAATGGGTTTAAATATGATCTCACCTGTATTTGGTCCCTCTTTCCTGACAGTCAGCTGCATGGCATCAGTGCCACAGTTACACACAATGGCAGATCCAGAATCTCCTGATCTCCCACCAGGTGCTGTTGAATTGGGCTGAGGCATGGTTGTCAGTGGTGGTCGAGAGTTACCTCCCCTTTGGTTACCAGTGAAAGATACATTGTTCCTTGCACTATTATTGAAGGAAGAGTTTGTGTTTGTGGTGAAGCTTCTACTAGAGGGAGAGTTGGTGTTCCGTGGTCTGTTTTGTTGTGTGTTGTTGCTGTTCTGTGGTCGGCGTTGTTGTGAGTTATTGCTGGTGATGCTTGAGTTACTGCTGCTGCTGTAACCACTGTCAAACATGTTGCTGTTTCTCCTTGGCAGTGAAGTGTTAGCTTGAGAACTGGCTGAAAAGAATATACACACATTATCAAAACTAAATACCAATTGAAAAGGAGTTTCAGTGATAGAAACAAGGGCTGGATGTAAGACATTTGCAAGAACACAGAAACTCCATAAACATGACAGTGGTCCCAGTGCATAGTTTTACATAGCATAACATTATGTCAGTAGATTCCAACATGACACAAGTATTTGATCTAACTCATGATTCCATCTCACAAACATTATTCACCAACAATGTACAAAATATATTTAATAAAGTTGCAGAACAAGAGTAAGGGTCCCTAATCATGGAGAGTAGTTAGACGGGTGAGTGCTGGCTGTGATATTACTGGAATATTGCTAAAAGCAGCGTAAAACTAAGGGGTTGGTGCAGCAAATTTGAAGTGAAAAAAACAGTCTGCATTTTTTTAATGTAATCTTAGCATCACCCCCAGATAATTATAATGCTCACTCACTCACTCCTAGCGCTTCAGCCTGGCAATGATGCACATAAGGTGTGCAAGTGACTAGTGACTTTGTTTAAAATATTCCTCTGTTCATCCACTGATACATGGGTACCAAGCAAGATGGAATGGTAATGTTAACCATATAAAGTCTCACATTCAGTTTGGGTTGTATACTCCCCAGGGAGTTGAGATTTAAAAAAGGGGTACATTCTGATTCACTGTAATAATGCAGTGCTTTGTGCATGGCACATTATAAAAATGAACATTATTATAACCACTTACTGTTGTTTCTGGCAGCGAGGGGCTGAATATTGAGGACTTCAGTCAGCATATGATCACAACCACCAATACAACCCGTGTATCTGGTAAGAGAAACCAAAATATATGTCTGCTAATATTGCTTTAACACAGAAAGAGTATATGCTGCTTTCTAGTGTGTACAGTGTGTTTTGTAACATCATTGTTGGCCTTATTTGTGACATATTTGGCCTAATGACTGATAACATGAGCACCAATCTAAGCTACCAAGCCTGACCATATGATCTGTTGCGTCATACAAAAACACAAGCATAGGACACTGAGAATTCTAACCTACTACAATCTCTATGTGGACATAAAACATTCATGTATTACAGAGCCTTGTGAGTCATCATGTTCAGGACAGGGACCTACAAAATTCAAATCATAGCTCTTATGACAAACAGGATAAATGTATAGGGTATCTTCAATACGGTTAAGTCGCAATCAGGACATAAGCAATATAACAAGGAATTAATTAATAATCATTTTTGTTGTGCTAAAATGTCACTACTAAACGGCCATAAAACAAGTTTCAGTTCCAAATAAAGATCAGATTTTTTTGTAACTTGTATGGTAAGTCTGCAAATTTTGACGTCTGCCATCCCTGACATAACAAGCATTGTCACTAAGGTGACATAATCCCCCGCCGCAAATTATCAAATCAAACTTAAAAAGTATTGAAAGTTTAAGATGAAGTTAAATGTTAACAAAAACATGACCAGTCAACCTCTCTTGATATCTTGCTCTTTAGTTGTTCAAACACAGAAATATTTTCAAGACTGACTTTGGCCTTGACATGAATGCCATAGTGTATGAAATATGCAAAAATGGTACCACTGTCCAACCAACATTAGAATGAGGTGCGTGAAAGACGTGTTTGTGAAAGGAGAGGGGGGAGCGTGCCGTGAACTGATTCACTACCCACTTGAAGGGGGAACAGGTGTGAAAACTTTGCACACATGATTTTTGTGATCCTTGCAGTAATTACTTTCTACGCAATGATTCAGAAGCGTCATATTTCTGCTCAATCATTTGTATACTAGTATCTTGTAAAGTGGACTGTTAAAAGAGTATTAAACTCTGCAGGTATTTGAAACTTATCATGTCGCACTCTAAATTGGGTAAACGGGGTCAAGTCATTCATTCACAAACACGTGAGGTTGCCTACAATGTCATTCAGTACATGTGTACTATTTCCGACAGTACACACAGTGCACTCAAAAAAGCCAGCGATGCTACTGGTACTAATACTATATCCCCCGCTTCGCCGCTAAACACGCGGCGGGGGATAATGAAAAAGCCATCTTACTCAGAGGGTATCATGGGTGGTGTTGATCCTCGTCTAAACTTGAACTTGATCAGATGCACCGGCCCCGGACCACACTGAAGGGGAAGAAATACACTGTAACAGTTACAAAGATAGAAATGCAATTTTTTTTAAAAGTGTGGCCATACTTTTTGATGATCAAAAACAATCCCTTGACCCAGTAACAAAGTGATTTGGTTTACCATCCCTGCCGATTGCACAACCAAAGTTTCTACAACCTTTGCAGATTATATAGCTTCATGGGTGGCCATGCATATGTTAGACTGCCAGACTAAGAGTGCCTTCGACAAATAGTTTGATTGGGGTGCAAAAATAGGTTTTGAATCATTTGAATTGGTTAAATTAGTCCCATTCATTAAATGAATCATGGTGAGTATTACTTATATAAATTTATTCATGCCACCAGAGCACTGTGAAAACATTTCATCCATACCATTTCAATATCTACTGTTAACTAGGTGTGACAGTGTTATCCTACCTGAGGACAGGTATCCTCTGACAAGTCAGCCTGGAGGACAGACTCTGGCAGCCACATGGCAGACCGACACTGGGGGTATCCCATACAGCCAATGTAAAACCTTCATTAAAAATACATTAAAAAGTTATTTAGGGAGGATGGGAGGGCTGACCTCATGAGTCAGGATAAGTATAAAATATCAATTTTACTCCAAAATTACATATTTTCCTTATCCTGACTCATGCTCTTTTGCTTGTAGCATAGCCTCTGAGAACGGAGGTGGGAATATCTAATACTTTGGATTTTTAATAATTAGTGATTTGAACTGTGATGATTGTAATAACCCTATGGGAACTTCATAAAGGCACTGAACTGATGAATTCCTGCTGCTAACTTATCAGCTGCCATATAAAGGTTATTACCATGTACTTATTATGATAAAGTATATATAACATTAATACAATGCTTAAGACTAATAGACTTAAGCTTGTTAATATGCTAGTATAAACTCCTTAGAGTTTGTTAGCTAAAATACTTTAAGATATAACATAGTACTAAGCTTAAGATATGATTAAACTTAAGCTAATTATATAATAGCAAACTCTTTAGAGTTTGTTAGTTAATATACTTATATGATATAGATATAATGCTGAGCTTAAGATATGAATAAGCTTTAGCTACATATATAATAGCAAAAACTCTGTAGAGTTTGTTAGCTAATATATTTTTATAATATGAGTATAGTACTGTGCTTAAGCTATAATTAACTTAAGCTACATATATAATAGCCAAACTCTGTAGAGTTTGTTAGCTAATATATTTTTATAATATGAGTATAGTAGTGTGCTTAAGATATAATTAACTTAAGCTACATATATAATAGCAAAACTCCGTAGAGTTTGTTAGCTAATATATTTTACAATATGAGTATAGTATTGTGCTTAAGATATTATTAACTTAAGCTACATATATAATAGCCAAAAAACTCTGTAGAGTTTATTAGCTAATATGTTTATAGTGTAACCATAGTACTAAGCTTAAGATAAGATTAGACTTAAGCTAAATGTATATAGCAAAATAAACTCCTTAGAGTTTATTAACTAATATACTTTTATGTTAAAAACATAGTACTGAGCTTAAGTTATGATGAAACTTAAGCTATATATATAATAACAAAACTCCATCGAAGTTTTGTTAGCTAATACCTTTATAATGTAAACATACTGCTTAAGATATGATGAAACTTAAGCTAATTGTATAATAAGCGAAACAACCCTTTAGAGTTTGTTAGCTATGATATAAACCTAGTATTGAGCTTATGAAGGAAAACTTAAGCTACATATATAATAGCAAGAACTCCGTGAGAGTTTGTTAGCTAATACATGTTATAATGTAACCATAAAGCTTAAAATATGATGAAACTTAATGAAATATATAATAGCAAAACCCTCTTTTAGAGTTTTGATAGCTAATATACCTATATGATATAAACATAGTACTAAGCTTAAGATATGAATAAGCTTAAGTTTATATATAATAGCTAAAACTCTGTAGAGTTTGTTAGCTAATACATGTTATAATATAACCATATTGCTTAGAAATATGATGATACTTAAGCCAAATAGCAAAAAACTCTTTAGAGTTTGTTAGCTAATCTACTTATATGATATAAACATAGTACTAAGCTTAAGATATGAATAAGCTTAAGCTACCTATATAATAGCAAAACTCCTTAGAGTTTGTTAGCCAATATATTTTAACAATATGAGTATAGTACTATGCTTAAGGTATAATTAGCTTAAGTTACCTATATAATAGTAAAACTCCGTAGAGTTTGTTAGCTTAAGCTATGTATAAAATAGCCAAAAACTCTGTAGAGTTTGTTAGCTAATGCATTTATCATGTAACCATAGTATTACTCTTAAGATATGAATAACTTAAGGTAAATATATATAATAACAAACTCTGTATAGTTGTTAACTTATATATTGTATGATGTAATAATCATAGTACTGTGATGATAAAAGGAACTTAAGTAAATTATACATAGCATGAAGCTATTTAGTATTGTTATAAGATAAGTAAAAATCTGTTAGATTGACTTATCTTCTCCGAGAACTGTCAGCTGTTGTGCGAGGACCATGGGATCGAATTGGTGTATACCTGAGGCGTCCTCGGTGGTGATATCTCTCAGATAATGGTTTGCAACCACCATATCGATTTCAGAAATAAACCCTCCATTATTTCAATCACATTTGTGTAGAACAATTGTAGAAGTTAAGCTATAATATCATGAGTATTAAGCTCATGGAGGGTCGGAATAGGTCCATCCGCATATGCACGTAGTATGACAGTTCTGATCCAAATGGAGATATAGTACATGAGACTTCACTCTGCGTAGAAGTTGATGATAGAGGAAATAATCTGTTGCATTTTATCCTCCTGTTTGGTTTGGTGGAGATAAATTTACAGTGCTCTTGCTGGCCATCTTGATAGAATCATCGTATCATGGGGTCCAAGTATGTCATCCAAGCGTGTTCATAAACCTCACTTGTGAGGTGTTGGAGCACTATATTCATATCCCAGGTTGGGTGAAATTTCCGTTTATTCTCCAAACAGAAGTTTAGTAGGTTTACTAACCATCTAGTTGTGTTAATTAAGCTTGATGAAATTCAGCTGTAGTCTGAAACGCTGTGGATTTAGATCCACTTGTATCTTTCGTCTAGGTAATTAGCTCACAGAAGTCCTTGGCGATGTAGGTGCACAACCAGGTGTGTCTGTCCTCGTTGAACTTTATGTAAAAATCGCCTGACTGCCGATCCCTCGTCTTAACTTGACAGGGGAGGTCTCTAACTTGAAGAAAGGCAGTTTAATCATGAATGTTCAGGTTAACTGGACTGTAATGAGGCTTGCTCGTTCACTGATATATAGTTGTCACTTGTGACGTAAGTCTTGAACTGTGAATTGAGATCGACCTCTGTGTAGGTCGTTGTCCTCATGGTCCAATCAGAACAAGGCATTTTGATTCTGTATAATACCCGGCTGTGATGTCACCGGTGTGGCGAGGGAAAAACCCACCTTGAATAAATTCTCTTGTCGCCGTTGATATTAGCATAAAGCGTCGGTCTTCACCGTAGCTTCCCGAAGTTATCCGAAAGTGACCACGTGTTTCGAGGGTAAATGGTAATCCTTGTGAAACCTCCGGTAGCGAAATATCTCGCTCTGTAATTTTATGCTGGGTAGGTTATTTTCCTGGTTGTCGTGAAAGTAATTTCAGTTTTGAATATAATTCCGACTTCCTTATATATAAGGGTATAACAACTTGCAAGTTGTGAGCTTGTAGACTGTATACATGAATGTATCGTCATAATTGTAGAATTAACGTTGAACTTGTTGTACATATTTCTTCTCAGAAACTTTGGCGATTAAGAGTTATACTCGCTGTAACAAGGCTGCTGTTCAATTTCGATATTGAATTGTCTGCAGATATGCGTAATGGTCGCATGTAGATAATCGTATCGTCGTCCGGGATTGTATATTAGCAATTTATACGAATAGTTGATTTCTGTGAAGATCTATGAAATGTCGTTGACTAATAATACAGCGGCGTTCTGTGTTGTAAATAGCCTGAGCAATTATCTTGGCGTAGGCTTATAGGCTGGCATCTGGCATACAGTTGATAATCAACTTATGCGACGTCTTGAACGGACTGACGAGTAGCTATATATGACGAGTGGCTAGTATATGGAAACCTTGGAGGAGACTTCCTCGGTGAACGCCGGAGACTTCGCGAAGTTCTCGAAGTATCCCTTCTAGATCTTCTGGGTGAAGTAGACTTGGAGCCCCTTAGCCTTCGCGACCATGGCGAAGGTGTCGAGAGTCAAAAGCCGATTAGTATATATATATATATATAAATATATATATGGCTTGCTTCGTGAACAGCCTCTGTGTTTAACAGGATGTGGGATCGGCGCTTGCCCAAATAGGGCGCATGGATCATCTTATCATATTCAGAAGTCGTGTTACGAAGTCTGGTGATAAGTGTCTAATTGATCGTTCTAGATCTATTTAGGCCAGCGAACATACGTCTCGTCATGGATTCAACAGAACCAATATACGATTGTAGTTCTTATACTTGATATCGATGATCAACTTGTCTATGGGTTGATCTTCGGGAGACTTGTGAGGGGGCGTTGATAGTTTAGTGAAGCTCTTGTATAGTCCCTCGATGTCCTTCTAGATGATGATGATCTGGATTCAGGTGTCCTTTGGCGCATGCCTTCGCGAAGCTTCCTCTGCGTCCGGTCGGGAACGACGATATGACCTTCGCGAAGGCTTCCGTGATGTCTGATGGTCCGAGTCCACATCTAGGGATGAAACCGCGATAAGGTGATGATCTATCCTGCCTGCCGAAGTCCTTCGCGAAGGCTGTACATCTAGGTTCTTTCGCCTTTCCGCGAAGGCTGTACATCTAGGTCCGCCGTCCAAGGTGGTCCGTGACTTCCTTCGCCGAAGGTGACATCGTCCTGGCTGCTACGTTGACGGGGTGCCTCTGGGGTGCTGTCTACGTTGGAGCCTTAGCGGCTTCGGACCCTGCTACGCAGATATAGTGGTCCTCCATGATGTTCATAATTTGTAGCATCATGTCTTCTGGGGATGGTCTCTGTGGCGAAAGGTCGCGTCGGTGCTTTATCTGCGGTGTTAATGGAGGGTCCACGGAAAATCGTCCGACATCAGTGTAGAGGCATCAGGCTGCATGGTGATCTCTGCTGATGTCGTTAGCTGTCACCCGTCGTTTCTTGTGGCGTCGCGTCGGGATGATGATCAGCTGATCATCGTGAGAGGTCCAGGTCATCGGCTGGAACAATCTCGGTTGAGAAAGTCCTAGTAGACCGTTGATTTTCCCTCAGAGGTCGGCGCTGCCCTGGGTGTCGCGGCGTCTGCGTTGAGTGTTGGTAATGATGGGACCCTCAGGGCCGATCATCGCATATCTCGCGTTGGTACATCAGGCTGCATGCTGATCTGTGCCGACATCGGTCAATCTTTGATGTACATCTGGTATGATGACCGGCTGATCATCATACAGGCCCAAACTGCGATGAGGAGCGGTCACCGGCTGTTGAGATGTAGTAGAAAAACCCTCTAGTCTTCTGCTGCGGCGATGGGATGTCTGGGGAAGCAGGATGCTTCTTGGAGATGGCGGACTCGCCCCACACCTCTCCACCACTCTAGCGGAACACCACACGGGAGGAGTCGGCCAACAGCAGTAGACTGGCGAGGGGTTCGGTGTATCAGTCATACTAGACTCTGCATGCAGCGACCTATCTGCTGTGCGTACCAAAGCGCAAAGTAAATATTAATAAAAGGTAGAATTGGATAAATTAGTACGCAACTGCAATGTGAATATAATAAACATGGCGCGTACATCATATTAAAGGCGGATCAGCAGCAGCATAAAAGCGTAATCTGCAATAGTACAGAATTTTCATCAGCGTAATCCACTGAAAACAAACACGGCGTCCGTGAATAAACTGTAGAAAAGCGACTAAATATCAATATATAATCGTTGAAGGATACTAGCTAAACCTCTATAGATGTCTATCTGAGGGTAACTAACTAAATATAATTCAAAGGATATAGTGTGTCGGGAGACACAGGCGCTCTCACGTCCAGCTCACTGGGCGAAGAAGGAGAGAGTGAGGCACATGGGTAGAGGTGGCGCCCTCGTTCCCGCGCTTGTGGAAAGGAGGTAACTCGTGGTGAATACTAATTAGTGATTTTAAATTGAAGGGAGCTTCAATTAGGGAGATACAAGTGTTCCACTATGTTCGCAAGAAGAAGAAGACAAGCAAAAAGAGCATGAGTCAGGATAAGGAAAAATAAATGTTATTTTTGTTTTTGTTTGTTGTTTAATGCCGCAGTCTGTAATACGGTGTTAGTCAGTAAATAATCGAGACTGGACAAGACAATCCAGTGATCAACAGCATGAGCATCGATCTACGTAACCATGATAGTGACTTAATGATTTGATCGTCACGATATGGCTGAGATATTGCCGATGTGACGTTAAATATTAACTCACTCACTCACTTAATGATTTGACAGTCACTAGTGACTTACAGAACGAGAATGTGGCTGAATGAAGCAGTAAACATCAAACAAAAATGCAAGTAATGACCCTTGTCATGGTACAATGCTGAGTTGAAAAGAGCATCATGTCAGTAACTAATTACACATGTTAAAGAATTTAATCTTGTCTCACAATCTCAAGAAACTGGAGCACGTCAGAGATTTCCATCGAAACTAGAAGGGCTGAATTGTTTTAACAGTGTCAATGATTATGGAACAGAATATTCCAGGGTTTCAACCTGATTCCTACACCTGTCCTGGACACCATCACAGGATGAGACTCTTAGGTTGCTTTTTTTACATCACTGATTATGTGCTAGAAGAAATGATTAACATTTTGCAATTGAATTGTTTGTCAATGGGTGAATAGTCTCATTGTGTTAAAGAGTGAGTGAGTGAGTGAGTATGGTTTTACGCCGCTTGTAGCAATATTCCAGCAATATCACGGCGGGGGACACCAGAAATGGGCTTCACACAATGTGCCCATGTGGGGATTCGAACCCGGGTCTTCGGCGTGACGAGCCAACGCTTTAACCATTAGGCTACCCCACCGCCCCATTGTGTTAAAGAAGTGTACAATGGCCCATTTGCATAAAGCTAACTTCGATGCAATGATTGTACCTGTTTAACATAGACTTCCTGTAGTTGTGGCATTGCCTTCACATTGTGCAAGTGGGCCTAGGTCTAGACATTGTAAATAGTGACCTGTTTGAAATGGAGACACTGAATCTGTGTAAATCAGTTAAACTGCTATGGCTTATCTCACCTGGAAATCAGTTAAAAGCGACTGCTTCGTTATGACTGTCGTAAATCTACGTTAAAGTACGGCAGTTACAAATGTCCCGGCGCTACAAACACTCTGAAGAATGGTGCAGAGAAAAACTATGTAATGAACCTTGCTCGGCGGGTGATGGGGTAGCCTTGTGCTTTAATCATTTGCTTGACATGCCAAAGACTTGGTTTCAGTTCCCCACATGGGTATAATATGTGAAGCCCATTTCTGGTCCCCCACTGTGATATTGCTGGCATAACGCTAAAAGCGACATAAAACTAAACTCATTCACACTCACTCACCTTGATAGGATGTGCCATAGCCTGGTCTTATATACTTCTTTAGCCCTCTACAGACAGAACTGTATCTCCAAACAGCAGAATTAATATCCATGACCCTCACTCCCCACTCACCCTTTTCCATCTTTCTTCACCTTCAGGGCCATGTCCTGACCACACTGTGGACATCTGCGGACAACAGCAGGACCAGCAATGTCTGTAACTGAAAGCAATACATTCTGTCAATGTATTACAAAACTAGACCCTCCACTTGTCAGGCACGAAAAATATAGTCTCCATATCTGAGATGTATAATTGATATCAAATAGACACTTTACAATTAACAAATTATTTTTATAAAACATTATTCATCAACTTTGGACTTGGCAACTTAGGATTTCAACTTTGGTAGCAACTACAAGGAAACAAATTTATTCATACTTTGTAAACTTAAGCTAGACTTCCTACACACCCAAATCATATTTCCTTCAGAAGATTTTTGAAGAGCCTAAGGCAGCAAAAACGAATGTGTGGCCCAAACAACTCAGTATGTAAGAATCTCCACAATCATCCTACCTACCTTCGGCTCCTGTGAGAGCATGAGCCTGTCCAAAGTACTGTGACAGAGCCTCGTCCAGCTTCAAGGCCTGACAATAACATCATTATACATGAATGCTAGACTAAAAAGGAACTTATCAGATTTGAAAATCTGTAATTTGAAAACATAACTACCTAAAAACAAAACAGACATTTAGCTCATTGACATAAGTGAAAAAGGAACAATTACAAGTATTGTTAGTAATTGTTAGTAAACTTACCTCTGGATTATGGTTGCCTTATTTCTGTGGTTACCAAAGACACATACAGAAAAAGTAAAAAAGAAAAAACTATCCCTAAGTCATAGTTCCCCTGGTAGTATGCCTTTCCCCTAAGGAGTTATCTCTCCTTAAATTGTGACGTAAGAGCGCGCCCTTTTAAACCTCACAATTTTTATGAATAACAGAATCTTCTGCCATGATTAGTGGGGAGGATAAAAACAAAGAAAAGGGGGGGAAGGGAAGCTAAACCCCATAATCCAGAGGTAAGTTTACTAACAATTACTAACAATACTTGTAATTGTTCCTAATTATAGGCGTAAACATTCCCTCTGGATTATGTATGCCTGAAAGTTTGTGTCTAAGAGAATCAAACAAATCAGTAATGGCGGCCAGATCAAATGATGCAGAAGACTTGGCTTTAGAGGAATGTGAACTACTTTTGCTAGTACTATCCGATTTACTAGACTGGGAGTCTGAGGAAGATTTAGCACGTTTTTGAGAATCAGAAGACACAGAAGATTTCCTCTTTTTAACAGAATTCCTGGCGGTGTCCATTTTGATCCAGTCGTCAGAACTGAGACTTGAGCACAATAAACACCTACTGTCTATGGTACAGGGAGGCTTGAGACACGCTGCACACAAGGCATGAGGATTGAGATCCGACATATATTTTTGAGACTGTAAACACTTGATTTGCGCCATAGCACGGGAAAATAACCAGTCACAATGAAATATAATTATCAATGTCACAAAGTTAATAAATGCGATTGTTGCACCAACCAATGCGATTGTACTGACCAATCTGTTGAGTTGATCTTGAAAATTCCCAATTAATCGATGATAAACGAATACCAGGAGAATCTTTTCCAACATTCCTAAGAACATCCTGTGCGTAGCACATACAGAAAAATTGTGAGGTTTAAAAGGGCGTGCTCTTACGTCATGATTTAAGGGGAGATAACTCCTTAGGGGAAGGGCATACCACCAGGGGAACTATGACTTAGGGATAGTTTTTTCTTTTCCATGTTTTCTGTATGTGTCTGTGGTAACCACAGAAATACGGCAACCATAATCCAGAGGGAATGTTTACGCCTATAATTACATTTGTGACTAGGGTTGGGCGATAATATTGCAATTCGAACTCCGCAATACGATATATGCGGTACACTTTTCGCGAACCAGTTCACCCGATACGATCGGCAATTCCGTGACCGTGATCAGTAATTTTCGTGATGTAGTTAAAAATACTAATCAGATTTGTATTTATTTTATATCATCAACATAAATAGTTTTGAGAATGTATATTGGTCAATCACATCTGTGTGCTGACAGTGGCCAGTGGCATTGTTTCAAATGAAAGGAAGACAGTACTTTCCATACCTTAGTTAACCCATTCAACACCACAGGCCGGAAAACCGGCCAAGATGTCATAAGTCCCCAGACACCGAAAGTTTACCGGCCTGGCAGTAGGCGCATCAAAATGGTACATATAATTTTAGGAACCTACCTAACATATGATTCACTTATTAAGTCTATCACTTTTCACAATGTCTGAAAATACTTATTACATTTCAAATGAACACATATTATCGGCAGAATTAAAATTATTAACTATTTTTCGCAATGTTATTGAAAACAAAAAACGATTCGGCAATGGGTCCACATCAAAGTTGTCAAAGAGGAAAGTAACGATGTTTCCAGGAAATAATTAAACAAATTGAATAAATTAAAGAATAAAATCAAGAACAGTACTCATAAAAGTTGTCAAGCGTACATCATAAGTTACTATTTTCCATCTTTTTGAGTGTGATCATGAAATGTAAGCCAAATAACATTTCGGCTTTCGTCGCCTCGAACTTCATGCTTGCACACGATGTTTAATGCTAAAATATATGCTTGAAGCATTTTTGTCACAGGTCATAACCAAGCACGATACGACAACTAAGTTCCATAAGGTGGTGATTTTGTGCGTAACCCGTTCAGAATAGGATGATTTTACCCAGAAACTTTCGTCTAAATCTAAAGTTTTCGTTAATGAGGACGGTATCCATTGCTGTAATAATATTGGTTGCCTTAGCTCACATGCATGATTTTGACCAATCACGAGCCTTATAGAAGACATTCGTAACTACTCGTGTCATTCGGCAAGCCGGATGGCGTCTCGTACCTCTCTCGTGGCCATGTTCACGACTAGTCTATGAATAAGAAAAGCAAGATTTATGGATGTCATCTTCTTTATTGTGGACAACACGATGTTTTGGAGTGTATGCTTGCTCCTTCATATATATCTTATATGTTATCTTGCTATCTTATGCATTCCACTTCTAAATGCCCTTCAAAGATTTAGTCTAGGAATGTTTCCAAAGATAGATAACTCTGAATTTCCAAACATGGCCACTCCTTGAAAGGTAAAAGATAAGAAACATACGTTTCTTATGTCGTTAACAAATATCAGTAAAAAGATAATTTTATAATCCCGAAACTAATAATGAAAATCGATAATCGTAAAGCAACTATTTGACCCTATTCGAAACTACTTGCCTCTTTCTGTGACCTACGCTATTCGGCTTGTCCGGAATAGCACGAATTGGTCACGAATGAATTTGACTCATTTCACATTTTACTACACGCGATTGCCACGATTTTTGGCAGTAATGGCGTACTATACAGGTACGAGTCTTCTTATCCCGTTTTCGGGAAATAGCTGTCTATACATATTATTTCAGATACCTTTTTATAATAATTTTCGTAAAAAATGAAAACATAGAAGAAAAAGGTAAGGGGATATTATGATATATTACAAATGGAAAAAAATCGCTTTATTTTTTGCTTCCTTCGTGGTTTATCTAGACATTATAATGTGTAAACTTACATTTTCATTAAAACTTAACTTATTCAAATTGTTGTTCTATTATTTGAATACTATGATAAAAAAATAACTTTCATATTTATAAATATGTTGGGATTAAACCTTTCAAATGGTGCATGACATGTAGCAGTAATGATGTTTTACAAGTTGATATTTTCCTTGATAAACATAGGCCTCATCTATGACCTCAGAGTCTCTGGGAACTCAGTGTCATGGCAGTAAAAGCCTCTGGTTGACTGGTGTTGAAAGAGCTAAACCATGTGTTACACTTTCACAATATATTGCAATACGTATTGCAATACGCCAACACATATCGCAATACGAAAATTTTGGCGATACCCAACCCTATTTGTGACCTCACAAATGAAGAATATCAGAAGTCAAAGTTTAACCAACGAAGGTTGTAATAGCAGTCAAATAAGTAAGACATAGCTGTGATTGTTTCGAGTACTCTGATAACTACCCTGGAGTTATCCACCCCTACAGCCTCGATTCCACTGCTCATATCAGTATCTTCAAACAGAATTGCCATGCTCATGAGCAGAACATGAGTGGACAGCACAGTGACAAGCCATTGGAATGAGACTCAAACCTATGCTGGTGCATGGGTTACATTAGATACTTATTACTGTAGCAGGGCTCCAGATAAGGGCCGTATCAGTGTATGTACGGATAGAAAATATGCACGATACGATTGGAAATAATTTAGAAAACGTAGCAGATACGCACCACAGCAATGGTGTACGGTCTTAAAATCATTTACAGACGTATTTATCTGAAAAAGTACTGTTTTATTGTTTATAGACCTGTTTACACAAGAGTAGCAATGTTGTGGTGCATTTATGAAACGAAACACAAGATTACTGATATGCCATTAAATTCCATTCAGTACTCTAAATGTACTCTTAAGTTTTTCCAGTACTCCTATATTGAAAACATAAGGAGTACGTACTCCTGATGTTGAAAAAATTATCTGGAGCCCTGCTAAAGATTGGAGATGTCACACCCTGGAGAATTGGAAATGTTTCCATTTGGGTAAACTAGTTTGTCACTTATCACAAAAACATGCAGTGGTCAAGGGAGATAACACAGCTACATTACCTGCTGGCTCGCCTCTATAAACACAGCCTTGTATTTCTCAATCTGCTCCCTCAGTACAACTAGAAAGTAAAGGAGTACACTCTCATTATGGTTCCTATCAAGCTACCGTGTAACGTAGGTAAATATATAAACTCTGCTTTATCATGGACTATATGAAATGGAACTGATGGGAAATTATATACTGAACATCTGACCTTTGATATTAAAGAACTAAAGACAGTGAAACCAACTTACTATTTTTGTCTTTTCGACCTTCACATATCCTATAAAAGAAATACATATCATGCAGTGAGATTTTGTGTATTACAAAAGGGAAAGATTAATTGGAGTGGAACTGTCACAAGAGAAAAACACATCTTTGATTTTAACACATTTGGGTGGTGTTCACCGCAAACTGAGGAGCCTAGTGGTTAAAGTGTTTGCTTGTCAGTCTAAATCACCACATAGGTACAATGTGTGAAGGCCATTTTCAAAGTCCCCTGTTGTGATACTGATGGAATAATGCTAAAAAACATGTAAAAACATTCTCACTCACTCTTCAAACATACTTGCCGATTTTCTATGTTATAAATGATAATATAACAAAGACGTTTTTGCTGTGTTAACATTCAACTAAAATGATTATAAAGACTTTCATCTTTACCTTTGCAAGTCAGCCTCCAGTTCAGATCTCAGGTGTGGCTTGGACATTTGGTATCCCATCTCATCATATCCTACAACAAACAGTCAACACCTGTAGTTTAGCTCAACCCGTATGAGTTATTCAACCTATGCTTGCTAATTAAGGGTTTGGCAAGGTGCCTTGGTTGACTGTGTGTACCCCAATGTCTTATCATATCTCGTCTGGGACTAGTGTTAAGGACTGCTATGTATTTCCTCCAGTGTTATTGACACGACTACACTGAACTGTGGACCAAGCATCATCACTATAACAAGTTGTAGCCCTTATATTCGATTAGATTACTTTGTGGAATATACGACTACATAACCATCTACCATCTCACAATCACATTCTCCTACTGACCTTCCACAAGTCCCATCCCGAGCTGTCCAGGCACAAAACGTCCATCAGGACGAAGACCGACGTAACTCCGGACTTTGATGGTTTCAATGTGATCTGCGTGTGTGGCATCAGTACCTGAAATATCATTATAAGATTGCAAGTCAGCATCTGAAGCGTCTCTGATTGTCCAGTGTTGAATATGTCCATTTTATATGGATCACTACCCTGGACTTCGTCACTATGATAGTTTACTGGAAAAAGAGATGTGCAATCAAATTACTCTCATGAGCCAGAGACCTTGTGAGGAAAGACAAAGATATGACCAGGGGTGATGACATTCCCAAATGAAGATAATGGGTCATGGGCATTTATGTATTCATATATAATGGCCAAATAATAAACTGGAAATAGACAATGTACTTGGGAGTTATATTTCACTTGAACAATAACTGAAATAGTGACAAACTGTTCACCCACCAATTCCATGTTTCTCCATGAGAGCTATCAGGTCTGCTTCAGACAACAAAGGTGGGGGCACTGTCTCACTACATGCCATCTGTTTGAGAAAGAAAACTCTGGCTAGGCAATTGATAAAAAAACATTAATGTTCATATGACATCAAAAAGGTTTCTCTGCAACATTATACCTTCGCACATACTTACTGGAGGTTTACAATATTCCTACTTACCTCCATCAGGCTTGGTTCAAACTGATCTCCCTGCTTGTAGATGGGGATTTCCTGCAAAGACATAATGAAGTATTAATGTACTTGCTAACCCTATGAATAGAATAGGTGTGAATGAGTGAGTACAGTGGAAGCTGTCAAAATCTGCAGCTGTTCAATCCGGCAAGTTGTCAATACCAGCGTAAAATCTCAGTCCCGTCCATGGCTAGTACACAATGTGTGCAGTAATTGAGAGAACCATGTGATACCACATGGATATGAGAGTGACAAAACTGGTTCAGTTCTAGTCGTAGGTAACTGTGTTAGCTCTACAATACGACACGCTGTCTAAACCGGATTATTTCTTCAGTCCCGACGAGTGCCGGTTTAGACAGCTTCCACTGTACGTGTCTAGATTGGATGGTTTGATGTTTAACACACCACACTCAGTAATATTCATGGTCTGTAAATAATTGTGTCTGGACAGACAATCCAGTGATCACCATCATGAGCATCGTTCTATGCAACTGGGATACGATGACATGTGTCAACCAAGTCAGTGAAACTGACCACCCGATCCCATTAGTCGCCACTTACAACAAACATGCGTTGCTGAAGACCAATTCTATCCCAGATCTTCACAAGTGTATGTGTTTAGAGTGAGTGAGCGAGTGAGTTTAGTTTTACGCCGCACTCACCAATATTCCAGCTATATGGCGGCAGTCTGCAGTGATAAATCTACAAATTCAACTGCCTGAGTCCCGGGACTCACTGAGCTGAATAACTATGAGTCCCTCAGAACTTTTATGAGTCCCTAACAAAACTTAATGCCACCAATATTATTCAAACTGGTTTATTGTTACTATAGGTTGCACAGGTGAGTCTGACCGGTCTGGGATATTTCACAGAACAGAGCTGGTAGTACCTAAATCGTAACAAATGGAGACTCTTCCATTTTAACTTGTAGTTCATACCCTATCACATCAAACACAGATGTTAACAGATCACTGGCAGTGGTTGGAGAATCATAGTTGATTTTACCTTCCTTGAGAATTTCAGTGTCTTCGTTTTCAAATTCATATAAAAGTCAACAAAGCGTTTAAACTTTGTCAGTGGGATGTTTTCACAAGCTAACCAATGAACAGATTTCATCAAAGGCGACAGCTGCTTTGTCTTGTTTTCATACATACGAGCAGTTGCAACCTGGAAATCATCACAAAGTTTTGGAGCCTGAGCGGACAGTTTATTATCATTATGATGAGATGTCTGGTCAAAGTTATATTTTAAAACTTTCTGCATTTAGCATCTTGTGTCATACTATTTTCAGTACATAGTTATTAAATAGTACAAAATATTAAATCACCTTCCCTGTCATAAGTCAGCCATAACCGATGAGTATCAGGCCAACCTGACTGAAATGTCCTAACTTTGTGTTTTCTGACAGTATCTATCTGGGCGGCATGTTGACTGCTATATTATAAAAATAACAGCAGGGCTCTGGACCTTTGACAATCAAATGTTTTCTTTTACTAGAAAAATAAAAAAGTTACTAGCCAGACCAATGTAACTTCACTGTAATATTTTGTGCATAAAGTTCTACAATTCCAACCAAAGTTTTGTTTTATTTCTTCACTCTGTTCAGTGATTCAAAAACAAATTACATCAAAAGAAATATGCCAACTGGAAGCCACTTTAACAAGTATGAACACAAATAGTAACTGTCTTACTTTAACTATTAACATTAAACAAATTATATCATAAATGTCATCATAATTATAAATGAAATGATTCATTTATATGATTACTTTCCCAGGACTTGAGATGCAGAACCTTAAACAACAGAATGACATTCTGTCTCAGCAGAAATTTAACCTGTCAAATGTCACTTTCACTTTCAAATTACATGCAGATAGATTTAACAGTTGTTAAGCTACTGACTAAAGCTTCCTGCTTTTCTCTAACTGGTACTGAGTGCTCACACTGTTGATTCAGAGTCACAATGTTCATTGACCAATCAGTTTGTCTTGAAAAACCTCATTTGCATATCGCTTACCTCCCTTAGCCTGTTTGTGTCTATTTATAGAGTGTAAAAACTAGGTTAGTAGTTCTGCCCCGCGTTCAATAGGCAAAACGTTACGGAACATTCGAGCAGTGAATCTTGGGATCTCATTTGCATACCGCTTACCTCCCTTGGTGTGACCTAGATGTCTATTTTTGGAAACGCGGAAATGAACTTAATATCATGACGAATGAAAGCTGCGATCGTTTTACAAATAATGTGTACTTATTAGCTCATGTCAATTATTTGAGAATGGAAGTTAATCTACGGAGATTTAGCCATGTATACTTTGATATTGCCTCTCCACAAAAATAAACATTAGTGTTTCATCAAAAAGCTTGCGTCCAAGAGGACGCACATGTAAAATAAATATGAGTCCTGTCAGAATCTGTTGCGTCAGAGACGCGGGACGCAGGGGTAGATTTATCCCTGGTATGTAAATAATCGAGTCTGGACCAGACAATCCAGTGATCAACAGCATGATCATCAATCTGCGCAATTGGGAACCGATGACATGTGTCAACCAAATCAGCGAGCCTGACCACCCTCATCCCGTTAGTCGCCTCTTACGACAAGCATGGGTTGCTGAAGATCAATTCTAACCCGGACCTTCATGGGTGTATGTGTTTAGAAAGATATGAGGAATCATGCTAACGATATTACTGAAAAAACACACCAACATTCCACAAAGTGGACCATTTTTAGGTGTTATAGAAAGGGACACTATGAATGGATTTCAGCTATCTGACATTGTTGGCAAACAAAATCAGGTCGTCAAGAGAATGAGCAACCTATGTCACATTATAGCAAAAAACATTAATTCACTGTAAACTATGTTCAATATAGGCCTCATATCTTTTACACTGGCTCAGATTAAAATATGTTCCGAAAAGAGACTGATCAAGTTATTTGTAAACTCAGTTGTGGTATAACAATTGTATAAAGGTCAACATTTGAAAAGGGGATCATTATAAATTCTTCACGCTCCTCTCTTTAAACAGTTATGAGTGAGTGAGTGAGTATGGTTCTACGCCGCTTTTTAGCAATATTCCAGCAATATCACGGCGGGGGACACCAGAAATGGGCTTCACATAAACAGTTATGACAACTCAAGGGTGAGAAAGGTAGTGAGAATGAACATTAAGCTGTTATTTTTAAGTCACCAATCCTACCTTAGCATTCCATTTCTCATATGGGTAGACCTCAAGGTAGTTCCTGGCAATGATCATCAAACCACTGGCTGCAAACTGAACATTAATACATTTATTAAGTGAAAGAGATGGCACATGAGCGAGAGAGTTGGTTTGTTGTTTAGGCCAGACCAATTTTATTTCTTGTTTTATGGATTTTTATCCTCAGAAAACCTAAAGGCAGGAGGGAAAAAAAATAAAATAAAAAAATCACCAGTCAAAGTAATATTCCTTCTAAATACTAAAAGTATTTTATGTTTGGCAATTTATGAAGTGCATATGGTGCAAAATACAATCTGAAAACAATTTTCTTGTAAGTTTACATTCAGATTTTATTTTTTTCTTATTCTTGAAAAAATGCGACTGGCAGATCCATAAAACAAGAAATAAAAATGGTCTGGCCTTAACGCCACACTCAGCAATATTCCAGCTATATGGCGGCAGTTTGTAAACAATCAAATCTGGACCAGATAATCAAGTGATCAACAACATGAGGATCGATCTACGCCATTTATGACAACATGACATGTATCAACCAAGTCAGCGAGCCTGACCTACCAACCCTGTTGGTCGCCTCTTACAAGAAGAATGAGTTGCTGAAGATGAATTCTAACCTGGATTTTCACGGGTATCAGCACAAGCATGCCAGTGTTGTTAATGCTGCAGTCAGCAATATTCCAGTGTTATCATTCCAGATCAAACAAACCAGTCATTGACAGCACGAGCAACAAATTACAACCCATGCTGCATGACCGGGTATGAGTGAGTGAGCGAGTGAGTTTAGTTTTACGCCGCACTCAGCAATATTCCAGCTATATGGCAGTGGTCTGTAAATAATCGAGTCTGGACCAGACAATCCAGTGATCAACAGCATGAGCATCGATCTACGCAATTGGGAACCGATGACATGTGTCAACCAAGTCAGCGAGCCTGACCAACCGATCCCGTTAGTCGCCTCTTACGACAAACATAGTCGCCTTTTGTGACAAGCATGGGTTGCTGAAGATCAATTCTACCCCGGATCTGACCGGGTGTGATGACACACTATCAGCAACACTGGCTACCCAAAACATTTCAGTTGACTCAAAAGACAAGCATTGGTTATTGGGGTCCAATTCTACCACGTTATCCCCAGAGGGGGCAAGATTACAAGGTGGATCATCAGAAGATATTTACCCAATAACATCGTCATTTTTACAAAGCCTCGCCTGATTTTAGGTGATAACAATTGTTATTTCTCCTACCCTCTCCTCTGCTATGTTGATATCAACTGTCGTCTCCATACCCTGGGCATCTTGGGAGCAGCATGCAAGAAAGTGACGAACCACGAACTCATACACACGCTGATCATTTCCCTGTAACACACATCAAAGTCTCTGTGGTAACTACTAAATGTGTCTACAAATCAAAGGTGAGTTCAATTCTACTTGATGTTTTAGCAACTTAATACAAAAAGTAATAGCTTCATGTACCATCTCGAAAAAAATCAGATTCTTAGTGGTCGTGATCGCTACACAAAGATGAGGACATCCTATTACAGGTCACTTAAGGAATTAGTTGTACAGCTCGGAACTGTCGTTCGGGTAGCCCTTATTGACATTTTTAAGTTCACCTTTCATGATCAAGTGTGACTCTAAGTGATTGGATGAAAGTTTGTTCTGAGCTTATCTCATGTTAGGAAGACCTAAAATAAGAAGTTTAGTCAGGATTGACTAGATTATCTGTTTGTGAATTTGTAAAAAATATTTTTCTTATTGGATTTCTTTACTGCATCTTGATTTCAATCCCCTCAAAAGCTCACAAGGTTAAAAATATCAATATCAAAGAGTAAAAAGTTGTAAGGATGAACATTTTACATTTTAACATATAAACAACATCTCAGTTAGGAGTAACCTATTCAGACAGACTTGGTGCAGTAGTTACCTGTAGGGTGGCCGTGTACTTGATGGGGTGTATAGGGGGATGGGCATTATCAGTCTTGTTGCCATTTCGGGGATGAATTCCTTGCTCCAAGACTCTTTGTGCAAAACCTGATAAAGGTAACAACGCTTACTAAATGAAACAAACAGAAGTAAGAGGTTGTTTAATCTTGCAATGGCCTTACCCATGTCTCTGTGTTATTTGTACACTGCCAAGAAGGGAATTATAAATTTCTATATGTTGACTGGCTAGTGTGTTCAGAAGAGGGTCCCTACCTCCCCAGTTGAAGTCTCATGTTTGGTGTCCTGACTATGAGAAGAGGGTCCCTACCGCCCCAGTTGAAGTCTCATGTTTGGTGTCCTGACTATGAGAAGAGGGTCCCTACCTCCCCAGTTGAAGTCTCGTGTTTGGTGTCCTGACTATGAGAAGAGGGTCCCTACCTCCCCAGTTGAAGTCTCGCATTTGGTGTCCTGACTATGAGAAGAGGGTCCCTACCTCCCCAATAAGGATCCTGCGTTTAGTGTCCTGACTATGAGAAGAGGGTCCCTACCTCCCCAATTAGGATCCCGCGTTTGGTGTCCTGACTATGAGAAGAGGGTCCCTACCTCCCCAGTTGAAGTCTCGTGTTTGGTTTCCTGACTATGAGAAGAGCGCCCCTACCTCCCCAATTAGGATCCCGCGTTTGGTGTCCTGACTATGAGAAGAGGGTCCCTACCTCCCCAGTTGAAGTCTCGTGTTTGGTGTCCTGACTATGAGAAGAGGGCCCCTACCTCCCCAATAAGGATCCCGCGTTTGGTGTCCTGACTATGAGAAGAGGGTCCCTACCTCCCCAATAAGGATCCTGCGTTTAGTGTCCTGACTATGAGAAGAGGGTCCCTACCTCCCCAAATAGGATCCCGCGTTTGGTGTCCTGACTATGAGAAGAGGGTCCCTACCTCCCCAGTTGAAGTCTCGTGTTTGGTGTCCTGACTATGAGAAGAGCGCCCCTACCTCCCCAATTAGGATCCCGCGTTTGGTGTCCTGACTATGAGAAGAGGGTCCCTACCTCCCCAGTTGAAGTCCCTGCGTTTAGTGTCCTGACTATGAGAAGAGGGTCCCTACCTCCCCAATTAGGATCCCGCGTTTGGTGTCCTGACTATGAGAAGAGGGTCCCTACCTCCCCAGTTGAAGTCTACGTGTTTGGTGTCCTGACTATGAGAAGAGGGCCCCTACCTCCCCAATTAGGATCCCGCGTTTGGTGTCCTGACTATGAGAAGAGGGTCCCTACCTCCCCAATTAGGATCCCGCGTTTGGTGTCCTGACTATGAGAAGAGGGTCCCTACCTCCCAAATAGGATCCCGCGTTTGGTGTCCTGACTATGAGAAGAGGGTCCCTACCTCCCCAGTTGAAGTCTCGTGTTTGGTGTCCTGACTATGAGAAGAGGGTCCCTACCTCCCCAATTAGGATCCCGCGTTTGGTGTCCTGACTATGAGAAGAGGGTCCCTACCTCCCCAGTTGAAGTCTCGTGTTTGGTTTCCTGACTATGAGAAGAGCGCCCCTACCTCCCCAATAAGGATCCCAGCGTTTGGTGTCCTGACTATGAGAAGAGGGTCCCTACCTCCCCAGTTGAAGTCTCGTGTTTGGTGTCCTGACTATGAGAAGAGGGCCCCTACCTCCCCAATAAGGATCCCGCGTTTGGTGTCCTGACTATGAGAAGAGGGTCCCTACCTCCCCAATAAGGATCCTGCATTTAGTGTCCTGACTATGAGAAGAGGGTCCTACCTCCCCAATTAGGATCCCGCGTTTGGTGTCCTGACTATCAGAAGAGGGTCCCTACCTCCCCGGTTGAAGTCTCGTGTTTGGTGTCCTGACTATGAGAAGAGAGCCCCTACCTCCCCAATTAGGATCCTGCGTTTAGTGTCCTGACTATGAGAAGAGGGTCCCTACCTCCCCAATTAGGATCCCGCGTTTGGTGTCCTGACTATGAGAAGAGGGTCCCTATCTCCCCAGTTGAAGTCTCGTGTTTGGTGTCCTGACTATGAGAAGAGGGTCCCTACCTCCCCAGTTGAAGTCCTGCGTTTAGTGTCCTGACTATGAGAAGAGGGTCCCTACCTCCCAATTAGGGATCCCGCGTTTGGTGTCCTGACTATGAGAAGAGGGTCCCTACCTCCCCAATAAGGATCCTGCGTTTAGTGTCCTGACTATGAGAAGTGGGTCCCTACCTCCCCAGTTGAAGTCCTGGGTTTAGTGTCCTGACTATGAGAAGAGGGTCCCTACCTCCCCAATTAGGATCCCGCGTTTGGTGTCCTGACTATGAGAAGAGGGTCCCTACCTCCCCAGTTGAAGTCTCGTGTTTGGTGTCCTGACTATGAGAAGAGGGTCCCTACCTCCCCAATAAGGATCCCGTGTTTGGTGTCCTGACTATGAGAAGAGGGTCCCTACCTCCCCAATTAGGATCCCGCGTTTGGTGTCCTGACTATGAGAAGAGGGTCCCTACCTCCCCGGTTGAAGTCTCGTGTTTGGTGTCCTGACTATGAGAAGAGCGCCCCTACCTCCCCAATTAGGATCCTGCGTTTAGTGTCCTGACTATGAGAAGAGGGTCCCTACCTCCCCATTAGGATCCCGCGTTTGGTGTCCTGACTATGAGAAGAGGGTCCCTACCTCCCCAGTTGAAGTCTCGTGTTTGGTGTCCTGACTATGAGAAGAGGGTCCCTACCTCCCCAGTTGAAGTCCTGCGTTTAGTGTCCTGACTATGAGAAGAGGGTCCATTCCTCCCCAATTAGGATCCCGAGTTTGGTGTCCTGACTATCAGAAGAGGGTCCCTACCTCCCCAATAAGGATCCTGCGTTTAGTGTCCTGACTATGAGAAGTGGGTCCCTACCTCCCCAGTTGAAGTCTCGTGTTTGGTGTCCTGACTATGAGAAGAGCGGCCCTACCTCCCCAATTAGGATCCCGCGTTTGGTGTCCTGACTATGAGAAGAGGGTCCCTACCTCCCCAGTTGAAGTCTCGTGTTTGGTGTCCTGACTATGAGAAGAGCGCCCCTACCTCCCCAATTAGGATCCCGCGTTTGGTGTCCTGACTATGAGCAGAGGGTCCCTACCTCCCCAGTTGAAGTCTCGTGTTTGGTGTCCTGACTATGAGAAGAGGGTCCCTACCTCCCCAATTAGGATCCCGCGTTTGGTGTCCTGACTATGAGAAGAGGGTCCCTACCTCCCCAATAAGGATCCTGCGTTTAGTGTCCTGACTATGAGAAGAGGGTCCCTACCTCCCAATTAGGATCAGTTTGGTGTCCTGACTATGAGAAGAGGGTCCCTACCTCCGGTTGAAGTCTCTGTGTTGGTGTCCTGACTATGAGAAGAGCCCCTACCTCCCAATTAGGATCCCTGGTTTAGTGTCCTGACTATGAGAGAAGGGTCCCTACCTCCCCAATTAGGATCCCGCGTTTGGTGTCCTGACTATGAGAAGAGGGTCCCTACCTCCCCAATTAGGATCCCGCGTTTGGTGTCCTGACTATGAGAAGAGGGTCCCTACCTCCCCAATAAGGATCCTGCGTTTAGTGTCCTGACTATGAGAAGGATGAAGTCCTGGTTTAGTGTCCTGACTATGAGAAGAGGGTCCCTACCTCCCCAATTAGGATCCCGCGTTTGGTGTCCTGACTATGAGAAGAGGGTCCCTACCTCCCCAGTTGAAGTCTCGTGTTTGGTGTCCTGACTATGAGAAGAGGGCCCCTACCTCCCCAATAAGGATCCCGCGTTTGGTGTCCTGACTATGAGAAGAGGGTCCCTACCTCCCCAATTAGGATCCCGCGTTTGGTGTCCTGACTATGAGAAGAGGGTCCCTACCTCCCCGGTTGAAGTCTCGTGTTTGGTGTCCTGACTATGAGAAGAGGGCCCCTACCTCCCCAATTAGGATCCTGCATTTGGTGTCCTGACTATGAGAAGAGGGTCCCTACCTCCCCAATTAGGATCCCGCGTTTGGTGTCCTGACTATGAGAAGAGGGTCCCTACCTCCCCAGTTGAAGTCTCGTGTTTGGTGTCCTGACTATGAGAAGAGGGTCCCTACCTCCCCAGTTGAAGTCCTGCGTTTAGTGTCCTGACTATGAGAAGAGGGTCCCTACCTCCCAATTAGGATCCCGAGTTTGGTGTCCTGACTATGAGAAGAGGGTCCCTACCTCCCCAGTTGAAGTCTCGTGTTTGGTGTCCTGACTATGAGAAGAGGGTCCCTACCTCCCCAATAAGGATCCCGCGTTTGGTGTCCTGACTATGAGAAGAGGGTCCCTACCTCCCCAATTAGGATCCCGCGTTTGGTGTCCTGACTATTAGAAGAGGGTCCCTACCTCCTCGGTTGAAGTCTAGGTGTTTGGTGTCCTGACTATGAGAAGAGCCCTACCTCCCAATTAGGATCCTGCATTTAGTGTCCTGACTATGAGAAGAGGGTCCCTACCTCCCCAATTAGGATCCCGCGTTTGGTGTCCTGACTATGAGAAGAGGGTCCCTACCTCCCCAGTTGAAGTCTCGTGTTTGGTGTCCTGACTATGAGAAGAGGGTCCCTACCTCCCCAGTTGAAGTCCTGCGTTTAGTGTCCTGACTATGAGAAGAGGGTCCCTACCTCCCCAATTAGGATCCCGCGTTTGGTGTCCTGACTATCAGAAGAGGGTCCCTACCTCCCCAATAAGGATCCTGCGTTTAGTGTCCTGACTATGAGAAGTGGGTCCCTACCTCCCCAATTGAAGTCCTGGGTTTAGTGTCCTGACTATGAGAAGAGGGTCCCTACCTCCCCAATTAGGATCCCGCGTTTGGTGTCCTGACTATGAGAAGAGGGTCCCTACCTCCCCAGTTGAAGTCTCGTGTTTGGTGTCCTGACTATGAGAAGAGGGTCCCTCCCTCCCCAATAAGGATCGCGTTTGGTGTCCTGACTATGAGAAGAGGGTCCCTACCTCCCCAGTTGAAGTCTCGTGTTTGGTGTCCTGACTATGAGAAGAGGGTCCCTACCTCCCCAATTAGGATCCCGCGTTTGGTGTCCTGACTATGAGAAGAGGGTCCCTATCTCCCCAGTTGAAGTCTCGTGTTTGGTGTCCTGACTATGAGAAGAGGGTCCCTACCTCCCCAGTTGAAGTCCTCGCGTTTGGTGTCCTGACTATGAGAAGAGGGTCCCTACCTCCCCAATTAGGATCCCGCGTTTGGTGTCCTGACTATGAGAAGAGGGTCCCTACCTCCCCAATAAGGATCCTGCGTTTAGTGTCCTGACTATGAGAAGTGGGTCCCTACCTCCCCAATTGAAGTCCTGCGTTTAGTGTCCTGACTATGAGAAGAGGGTCCCTTCCTCCCCAATTAGGATCCCGCGTTTGGTGTCCTGACTATCAGAAGAGGGTCCCTACCTCCCAATAAGGATCCTGACTCGTTTAGTGTCCTGACTATGAGAAGAGGGTCCCTACCTCCCAGTTGAGTCTCGTGTTTGGTGTCCTGACTATGAGAAGAAAGCCCTCCTACCTCCCAATTAGGATCCAGCGTTTGGTGTCCTGACTATGAGAAGAGGGTCCCTACCTCCCCAGTTGAAGTCTGCGTGTTTGGTGTCCTGACTATGAGAAGCCCTACCTCCCAATTAGGATCCCAGTTTGGTGTCCTGACTATGAGAAGAGGGTCCTACCTCCCCAGTTGAAGTCTCGTGTTTGGTGTCCTGACTATGAGAAGAGGGTCCTACCTCCCAATTAGGATCAGCGTTTGGTGTCCTGACTATGAGAAGAGGGTCCCTACCTCCCCAATAAGGATCCTGGTTTAGTGTCCTGACTATGAGAGAGGGTCCTCCTCCCAATAGGATCCCTAGTTTGGTGTCCTGACTATGAGAAGAGGGTCCCTACCTCCCCAGTTGAAGTCTCGTGTTTGGTGTCCTGACTATGAGAAGAGGGTCCTACCTCCCCAATTAGGATCCCGCGTTTGGTGTCCTGACTATGAGAAGAGGGTCCCTATCTCCCCAGTTGAAGTCTCGTGTTTGGTGTCCTGACTATGAGAAGAGGGTCCCTACCTCCCCAGTTGAAGTCCTGCGTTTAGTGTCCTGACTATGAGAAGAGGGTCCCTACCTCCCCAATTAGGATCCCGCGTTTGGTGTCCTGACTATGAGAAGAGGGTCCCTACCTCCCCAATAAGGATCCTGCGTTTAGTGTCCTGACTATGAGAAGTGGGTCCCTACCTCCCCAATTGAAGTCCTGAAGGTTTAGTGTCGTTTATTCATCCTGACTATGAGAAGAGGGTCCTTCCTCCCAATTAGGATCTGGCGTTTGGTGTCCTGACTATCAGAAGAGGTCCCTACCTCCCCAATAAGGATCCTGCGTTTAGTGTCCTGACTATGAGAAGTGGGTCCCTACCTCCCCAGTTGAAGTCTAGGTGTTTGGTGTCCTGACTATGAGAAGAGGCCCTACCTCCCCAGTAGGATCCCGTTTGGTGTCCTGACTATGAGAAGAGGGTCCCTACCTCCCCAGTTGAAGTCTCTCGTGTTTGGTGTCCTGACTATGAGAAGGGTCCCTACCTCCCCAATTAGGATCCCGCGTTTGGTGTCCTGACTATGAGAAGAGGGTCCCTACCTCCCCAGTTGAAGTCTCGTGTTTGGTGTCCTGACTATGAGAAGAGGGTCCCTACCTCCCCAATTAGGATCCCGCGTTTGGTGTCCTGACTATGAGAAGAGGGTCCCTACCTCCCCAATAAGGATCCTGCGTTTAGTGTCCTGACTATGAGAAGAGGGTCCCTACCTCCCCAATGAGGATCCCGCGTTTGGTGTCCTGACTATGAGAAGAGGGTCCCTACCTCCCCAGTTGAAGTCTCGTGTTTGGTGTCCTGACTATGAGAAGAGGGCCCCTACCTCCCCAATAAGGATCCCGCGTTTGGTGTCCTGACTATGAGAAGAGGGTCCCTACCTCCCCAATAAGGATCCTGCATTTAGTGTCCTGACTATGAGAAGAGGGTCCCTACCTCCCCAATTAGGATCCCGCGTTTGGTGTCCTGACTATGAGAAGAGGGTCCCTACCTCCCCGGTTGAAGTCTCGTGTTTGGTGTCCTGACTATGAGAAGAGGCCCTACCTCCCCAATTAGGATCCTGCGTTTAGTGTCCTGACTATGAGAAGAGGGTCCCTACCTCCCCAATTAGGATCCAGCGTTTGGTGTCCTGACTATGAGAAGAGGGTCCCTACCTCCCCAGTTGAAGTCTCGTGTTTGGTGTCCTGACTATGAGAAGAGGGTCCCTACCTCCCCAATTAGGATCCCGCGTTTGGTGTCCTGACTATGAGAAGAGGGTCCCTACCTCCCCAATAAGGATCCTGCGTTTAGTGTCCTGACTATGAGAAGTGGGTCCCTACCTCCCCAATTGAAGTCCTGGGTTTAGTGTCCTGACTATGAGAAGAGGGTCCCTACCTCCCCAATTAGGATCCTGCGTTTGGTGTCCTGACTATGAGAAGAGGGTCCCTACCTCCCCAGTTGAAGTCTCGTGTTTGGTGTCCTGACTATGAGAAGAGGGTCCCTACCTCCCCAATAAGGATCCCGCGTTTGGTGTCCTGACTATGAGAAGAGGGTCCCTACCTCCCAATTAGGATCCAGTTTGGTGTCCTGACTATCAGAAGAGGGTCCTACCTCCCCGGTTGAAGTCTCGTGTTTGGTGTCCTGACTATGAGAAGAGCGCCCCTACCTCCCCAATTAGGATCCTGCATTTAGTGTCCTGACTATGAGAAGAGGGTCCCTACCTCCCCAATTAGGATCCCGCGTTTGGTGTCCTGACTATGAGAAGAGGGTCCCTACCTCCCCAGTTGAAGTCTCGTGTTTGGTGTCCTGACTATGAGAAGAGGGTCCCTACCTCCCCAGTTGAAGTCCTGCGTTTAGTGTCCTGACTATGAGAAGAGGGTCCCTACCTCCCCAATTAGGATCCCGCGTTTGGTGTCCTGACTATCAGAAGAGGGTCCCTACCTCCCCAATAAGGATCCTGCGTTTAGTGTCCTGACTATGAGAAGAGGTCCCTACCTCCCCATTGAAGTCCTGGGTTTAGTGTCCTGACTATGAGAAGGGTCCCTACCTCCCAATTAGGATCAGCGTTTGGTGTCCTGACTATGAGAAGAGGGTCCCTACCTCCCCAGTTGAAGTCTCGTGTTTGGTGTCCTGACTCATGAGAAGAGGGTCCTCCTCCCAATAAGGATCCTGCGTTTAGTGTCTGACTGACTATGAGAAGAGGGTCCCTACCTCCCAGTTGAAGTCCCTGCGTTTAGTGTCCTGACTATGAGAAGAGGGTCCCTACCTCCCCAAGTAGGATCCCCAGTTTGGTGTCCTGACTATGAGAAGAGGGTCCCTACCTCCCAGTTGAAGTCTCGTGTTTGGTGTCCTGACTATGAGGAAGAGCCCTACCTCCCCCAATTAGGATCCCAGCGTTTGGTGTCCTGACTATGAGAAGAGGGTCCCTATCTCCCCAGTTGAAGTCTTGGTGTTTGGTGTCCTGACTATGAGAAAGGGTCCCTACCTCCCCCAGTTGAAGTCTCGTGTTTAGTGTCCTGACTATGAGAAGAGGTCCCTACCTCCCCAATTAGGATCAGCGTTTGGTGTCCTGACTATGAGAAGAGGGTCCCTACCTCCCCAATAAGGATCCTGAGTTTAGTGTCCTGACTATGAGAAGTGGGTCCCTACCTCCCCAATTGAAGTCCTGGGTTTAGTGTCCTGACTATGAGAAGAGGGTCCCTACCTCCCCAATTAGGATCCCGCGTTTGGTGTCCTGACTATGAGAAGAGGGTCCCTACCTCCCCAGTTGAAGTCTCGTGTTTGGTGTCCTGACTATGAGAAGAGGGCCCTACCTCCCCAGTTGAAGGATCCGTGTTTGGTGTCCTGACTATGAGAAGAGGGTCCCTACCTCCCCAATTAGATCCTGAGCGTTTGGTGTCCTGACTATGAGAAGAAGGGTCCCTACCTCCCCTAGTTGAAGTCTACCTCCCAAGTGGGTTTGGTGTCCTGACTATGAGAGGGTCCCTACCTCCCTAGCTTCTAGTCCTGCGTTTGGTGTCCATGACCATGCAGCTGTTTTTCCTACCCTTCACCAGATCAGCTTGGGTGTCCCATTCTATGAGAAGAGGGTCCCTACCTCCCAATTAGGATCCTAACGTTTAGTGTCCTGACTATGAGAAGAGGGTCCTACTCCCAGTAGGATCCCAAGGTTTGGTGTCCTGACTATGAGAAGAGGGTCCCCTACCTCCCAGTTGAAGTCCGCGTTTGGTGTCCTGACTATGAGAAGGGTAATCTAGGCTCCCTACCTCCCAATTAGGATCCCGCGTTTGGTGTCCTGTGACTATCAGAAGAGGTGTCCCTACCTCCTGAATCAAGGATCCCAATGGGCCTAGTTTAGTGTCCTGACTCATGAGAAGTGGGTCCCTACCTCCCCAGTTGAAGTCTCAGTGGGATGCTTGGTGTCCTGACTATGAGAAGAGGGTCCCCTACCTCCCAATTAGGATCACATAATAGTATCCTATGCACCCCAGGTGGGGAATGTCCCTGAGGAAGGGACTATGAGAAGAGGGTCCCTAGGCCCTCCCCAACAAGGATCCGCGTTTAGTGTCCTGACTATGAGAAGAGGGTCCCTACCTCCCCAATTGAAGATCATGCGTTTGGT